GAGGTACTGGAGCTGCTGGAGGCACTGGAGCTGCTGGAGCTGCCGGTACTGATGCAGCTGCGCCGACACGACTGTTCTTCGCTCCGCCGTCTCCGTCGTCTCTGCCGCCGTCTGACTCTGTTCTTCGTCAGGTTCTTACTCTTCCGTCGTCTACTGGTCTTCCGTTACAGCCTGGCTCACCGCTGCCTGCTCCTTCTCCTTACACTGAGCAGACTGGTAGTCCTGCTGAGCGTCGTGAGCCTGTGTCGCGTCCTGTCTCGCCTGCTCGTCCTGGTCGTACCGGTCGTCGTGTTCCTCGTTCGCGTCAGCCGGCTGTCCCCCGCGCACACCTCGTAGTTCGTCGTCCTTCCTCTGCTCTGCAGCCTGTTCCTCTGCCGTCTCCTCCTGCGTCCTCTCTACCTGACGTTCCAGACCCTGAGTCTGACCGGTTTCGTGCTGACCACCCTACTGTCACGCGTCTGCTAGCCACTGTTGTCACTGACCCGTCGTTTGAGTCTACTGCTGCGTCTGCTCTTGTCGCTGAGCTTGTTGACTTTGCTGCTGCCTGTCGTCTAGACTACGCCGCCAGTCTTGTTGCTGAGTCTGCGTCTGTCTGTCCTCCGTCCGTCGGGGGTGAGTGTGCTCTTAGCACGGACGTCCTTGAGGACAGGCAGGAGGAGTTCCAGTGTCTTGCTGCTGCTTTACCTCATCTTGTGTCCTCGCTACTTGCCCCTGAGGGAGACCCGGATGCACCAGACATCCCGACTCCGCGCTCTTACGCAGAGGCGATAGAGAGTCCCTACTCCTCTCAGTGGCAGGCAGCCATGGACGCAGAGATGGCTTCCTAGAAGTCCACAGGCACCTATGTCGACGAGGTTCCCCCACCTGGGGCGAACATCGTCAGTGGCATGTGGATTTTCAGGGTGAAGCGGCCACCGGGTTCTCCGCCTGTCTTCAAGGCGCGTTACGTGGCTCGAGGCTTCAGTCAGCGAGAGGGAGTTGACTTCTTCTAGACCTTCTCCCCCACCCCGAAGATGACCACTCTTCGGGTGCTGCTGCACGTTGCTGCTCACCGTGACTACGAGCTTCACTCTCTTGACTTCAGCACTGCTTTCTTACAGGGCAGCCTGCACGAGGAGATCTGGCTGCGCCGCCCCCCGGGCTTCACTGGGTCGTTCCCTCCTGGCACCCAGTGGAGCCTCCGGCGGCCGGTCTACGGTCTCCGCCAGGCGCCACGTGAGTGGCACGACACACTGAGGACTACGCTTGCGGCTCTTGGGTTCGCGCCTTCTACTGCTGACCCGTCGCTGTTTCTGCGCACCGACACTTCACTGCCGCCGTTCTACATCCTCGTGTACGTCGACGACTTGGTTTTTGCCACTGCTGACACTGAGGCTCTCGCCCACGTGAAGTCGGAGCTGCAGAAGAGACACACGTGCACAGACTTGGGTGAGCTGCGCAGCTACCTTGGCTTGCAGATCACCCGGGACAGAGCACGCCGCACCATCACCTTGACTCAGTCACACATGGTGCAGCAGGTCCTTCAGCGCTTCGGCTTCACCTGGTCTTCAGCACAGGCCACTCCTCTGGCTACAGGTCACTTGCTCTCAGCTCCACCTTCGGACGAGTCCGTAGAGCCGAGTGGTCCTTACCCAGAGCTAGTCGGCTGCCTCATGTACCTGATGACTTGCACTCGACCTGACCTCGCGTACCCTCTTGGTCTTCTGGCTCGCTACGTGGCTCCTGGTCGGCACCGACCTGAGCACATGGCTGCTGCTAAGAGGGTACTGCGCTACTTGTGCAGCACATCAGGCATGGGGCTAGTGCTTGGAGGGACGAGCCCAGTTGTCCTCACTGGGCACTCAGACGCTTCTTGGGTTGACGACCTGGCTACTCAGCGGTCGTCACAGGGTTACACCTTCAGCCTTGGCTCTGGTTCAGTTTCGTGGCGTTCTACACGCTCGTCTTCAGTTCTCGGCTCCAGTTGTGAGGCTGAGATCTACGCCACCGCCATGGCTGCACAGGAGTTACGCTGGCTCACCTACCTGCTGACTGACTTGGGAGAGCAGCCTCGTTCTCCTCCAGTGCTGTACGTTGACAACAAGGCCGCCATTGCCTTGTGTGAGGAGCACAGACTGGAGCATAGAACGAAGCACATTGCTCTGCGTTACTTCCTGGCTCGAGAGTTGCAGCAGCGAGGCCAGCTTTGTCTTCGTTACGTGGCCACTCGGGCCAACACTGCTGATATATTCACCAAGGCACTTCCGTCTGGTGATCATCAGCGCTTTTGTACTCTGTTAGGCCTTGTGCCTACGCTTCCACACTTGCTGTAGTCTTTGCTTGTACTGTGATCTATATACATATTGTTAGAATAGTAGCCTTAGGGTTTGGGGTAGCGTGAGCGAGAGAAACAGGAAGGAGGGGTTCACTACAGCAAGGTTACAAGATATAGCAAAGAAAGGTGAGCACATTGGTGCACCACCACTGTAGCTACACTAGAACACACAGCAAGCAGGGTATATAACAAAACTTAACACACCCCCTTAACCTGCTTGCCGTGATAACTAGTACAGGTACACGTGGCGCAGCGGAAGAGGGTAGAGAGGTTAGGAAGGAGGAGGAGGTGAGAGGAGAGGAGAGGAGAGGAGAGGAGGGAAGAGAGAGAGGGATGAGGAGAGGAGGTGGGGGGCCAGGACCGGCGGACCCGCTTACGAACCTCCGTTTACAAAGGGGGTTGGGGAGGAGTGAGGGAAAAGGAGAGAAGGTGGGGGGCCAGGAGCGGCGGACCCTCTTAAGAACCTTCAGAAGGTGGGGGGCCAGGAGCGGCGGACCCTCTTAAGAACCTTCAGAACTCAACTCAACTCAACCACCCCCCTTTAACCTCACTCCATGAATCTGCCATCCCCCCAATGCTCACCCTCACACTCCAGTCAACTTCACTATCACCACCCCCTCACCTTCTGCACTTCTCTCCCCCCTCCCCCCCCCTTCTCTACGGCGACAATCCCTGCAGTAAGAGAGAGGGGAGGGACGGGCTGCAGGCAGCTCACACACGCCACCCACACATCTCCCCCTCCTCCCTCCCCACGACGGAAGCAGCGGAAGGGAGGGCGGGCGGGGGGGGGGGGGGGGGGGGGGGGGGGGGGGGGGGCGGCGGTAGCTGCTGCTGGCGCTGGCGGTGGCGCTGGCTGGTGCGCAGGCGCGAGCGGCTGGCCGCGGTGCTGGCGTCGGCGCTGACGGGCCACGCTCGCGCTGGCGCCTGCGGTCCGGGCTGGCGCGGGCGCTGGCGTCCATGCTGGTGCTGGCGCCCGCCGGCGCTGGCGTCCGCGGCGACGAAACGGGGGGCCCCGGCGCGTCGAAACGGGTGGCCGCGGGGCGACGAAACGGGGGGGGGCCGCGGGGCGACAAAACGGGGGGCCGCGGGGCGACGAATCGGGGGCCGCGGGGCGACGAAATGGGGGGCCGCGGGGCGACGAATCAGGGGCCGCGGGGCGACGAAATGGGGGGCCGCGGAGCGACGGATCTCGCCATTGCGCAGCTCGCCACCGTGTCGATCAGCAGCGACTCGAGGCGCCGCCATAACGAGCATAAAACTAGGCCTAGGAACGGCCTGCTCTGATTACCATGTTAGAATAGTAGCCTTAGGGTTTGGGGTAGCGTGAGCGAGAGAAACAGGAAGGAGGGGTTCACTACAGCAAGGTTACAAGATATAGCAAAGAAAGGTGAGCACATTGGTGCACCACCACTGTAGCTACACTAGAACACACAGCAAGCAGGGTATATAACAAAACTTAACACATATATACCTGTATGCTGGCTCTTGCTAGGTAGCCATCACTGTACTGTCATTGCTTCATATATATCTCTGCATGTGAACTGGCCTTGTGGCCATTTGCTTGTGCTCAGAATGTGTGGTGACGTTGTGATCCACCCTGAGCTTGTTTTGCTTCTCTTGACTGGTCTTGTGACCCGTTGCTCTCCCCCACTTTGCCTATGGGGGTGTGTCAAATGATATATATGTGTGATATATATTGGTAGGCTGTAGTGGGGTAGATGTTATAGGGGATAACACTTTAGGGTTGTGTTATTTTGTACCAAACTCTCGATAGTCAATCCAACCTTGCCTGATTCTCTCGACACATCGTTCTCATTGCAACTGGCCTATTACAACATTGCATCGTTCTAAAACACATGCAAGTACATACTGAACTATACTAGCTATGGAGCCAACCGTCCAAGTGACTGTAGTACGAAAGATAGCCCTGGGGTGGGTGGTGGGAATGTTGATAGAGCCGTTGAAAATAGAGAAACGTGGGTGGAGGGAAATGAACTCCAACCCACGGTTTTTGTAGTTGGAGAAGGGCGTTTAGCGCGCTTCGACGCTGCCAAATATTCGGTACAGGCAGCTTCGCTTTCACAATACACAATTTTGAAAAACACGAATGTGTCTAAAAATTATAATATAAGTGACACCAACACACCTTACATTCTATTCGCCAGAGCGCATACCCATGCATGCTGTCCCATCCACCCACCCTGCCACCACACCTGTCTCACACATCTCCCCACAGGTCTGACTCGTTAATTTCCTGGATTTCCGGGCCCATCCTTGCACCCCTCACCCATCGCATCACCCTCCACCTTCACTCCATTAGCGATTCCTCCTCCCCCTCCAACTCCTCGTTCTCTCCCTCTCCCTCTCTTTGCCCCTCTTCCACTTCTCACTCCTTTCCTCTTCCTATCTCCGCTACAACCACCCCCATTTTCCTCCTTTTTCTCGACCTCACCCACATTCCCTATCCCTTCCCCTTCACCCACCCGATCAGACCCTATTCCAACCGCTGACTCGCTCACTGTGTAGCGAACGACAGCTGTCAGCATCTCATAGCCCACAACATGCCACGTAGGACCAGTCCCGTTCCGCAAACCTAAACTCTGCTCCAGATATTCCAAGTGGCTGTTGCATTTGCATGCCTGTACATGTGCGGAGCTTGCTGGTGGAGGCCCATCCGGCCTTGATTTCAAGCTGCAGTGCTCCGCGCGTTTACTGCTGCTGATATGCCCTTGTGACCCTTGCTGCCCTGCAAGCTGCTCAATCACCCGCACACTCCCCACTGCCCATCCTTCCCAGTAATCGCATTCTGCTTCACCCATGCCGCTTGCTGCACTTGGTACTGCGGAGACTGGCTCTCCTGATGGTCCTGCTCCTGCTGCTGCCGCTGATGGTGCTGCAGGCATGGAAACAGGCACTGCTTTTGCTTCAGGCGAGGCGGCTGCGGATCCAATCGTTGGTTCCGGCACAGCAGCTGGCATAGGAACCGGTGGTGGTGGCGATGTGTTGTGACATGTCACGGCATGCTCGTTGCCCTGCTTTGCCGCGGGTGCTGGCTCCTGGCATGGGCGGTGGAAGCAGGTGTGGTGTGGTTCAGTTGAATTATGCACGCTGACACAATGAGTGGTGCATGGTGCACAGAAATGGATGTGTGTCTGAGAGTATTCACGAGCACTTAACAGTAGGTTGTACTCATCATGAATCAAGCCTTCTCAAAGGCTGGTAGGGCGGAGAGAGAGTGGGACCAAGAAAGGAGACAGAAGGAGAGGCAGGCGGAGAAGTGGGGCAAGGGAATGGAGAGGGGAGAGTGAAGGAACGGCATAATTGGAAGTGACGAGGGGAACAATGTAGAGAAGGAAGTGAGAAGGTGGAGAGAAAGCGGAGAGGAGGTGGAGAGAAGGTGGAGAGAAGGCAGAGAGTAGGTGTAAGTTACGAGGTGAGGTGTATGCACACTTGACAAGAACAAGGAGCGATGACATGATGGATGGTGATGGGGTCACATCCATAGCCCGTGGAGAAGTTGAACGTGAAACTGATGGCTCCTGCAGGTGTCATGCCTTGCTGCTGCTGCTGCTCACCCTCTCCCTCCTCTCCTTCCGCCTGCTGCATCTGCAGTTTGAAGGATCTGTTGGGAACAGTAGCAAATTGAACCACAAGTAAAGAAAGGAAGGTTTCTCTAGAATATATTCAGCACACTGGGATGTTTTTGGTTTCCTTCTTGAGAAAGTGACTTTTGCAGGAGTGTGAGAGAGCGCAAGCAAGGGCAACAGTGAGGGATTGAAGCACGAGGCAGATTACAAGTAGCAGCACCTGTTGAAAGTGTACGGTGGAGATGAAAGGGTGAGTTCATCCAACGGCCAGCTCTCAGGGAAGGAGACCTGGAGGTCCGGGGAGAGGAAAGAAAGCAGGTATTGAGCCGGGTTCGATAGGGATGGCTCACAGGCATGCATGGGTTACGCTTACGTGCTTGGTTCACTTAAACTGATGGGTCACTTTAATGAATGGTTTAACCAACGAAAGTAACAGCAAGAAACAGCAAAGTAAGTCAATTTCAGCCTGGAGTGTTCCTGAAAAACCAGTGGAGAATGGAAAGGGACGGTAGCAGCAGTGACATTAATCACGCACAGTGACGCATAGGACAAGAGTCAGTCTCACACCTCAATGCAGTCTAGAGACGGCAGGGGTGCGAGGGCCCCCAGGGTGCTCTCCACTGCCACACTCAGCTTCCACCTCTGCAGGTAGCATAGGGGCATGGGTGTGTGTAGGAGAAGGGAAGGGCGGAAGAAGAGAGGAGAGGAGAAGTGAAGAGAAGAGAAGAGAAGAGAAGAGAAGAGAAGAGAAGAGAAGAGAAGAGAAGAGAAGAGAAGAGAAGTGAAGTGAAGAGAAGAGAAGAGAAGAGAAGAGAAGAGAAGAGAAGAGAGGAGAGGAGAAGAGAGAGAGGAGAAGAGAGAGGAGAAGAGAGGAGAAGAGAGGAGAAGAGAAGAGAGGAGAAGAGATGAGAAGAGAAGAGAAAAGAAGAGAAGAGGAGAGAAGAGAAGAAAAAAGAAGAGGAGAGGAGACGGGAGAGTGTCAGCTATTCTCCTTGTCGCACAACTTCCTTCCACCGACTCAACCTGGTGATGCTGAAGAGCTGATAACCACACACAGGCCACGGCATTATTTCATATTGCTTTCCAATGGAAATATAACATATGTGCTTAAAGCTTCATAGACGCAATGCGATAGCATGTAGGTAGTGTGGCATGCGCACATGCTTTGGGGCTGGGTTGTCCGCACTTGCATTTGTGAGTACGGAAGGCTGTGCTGTTGCCTGCTGCTTCTTGGCCTTGCCCTTGCCTTGGGATTGAATGGCTGGTGAAGGGGGGAGGGAGAAGACGGGTTCGCGAGAAATCTAAAAAATCACTCACGGAGATGGGTTTAACCACAGCAAGGCAACTGAGAAAGCTCTGTCGGTCCAAATTTCATGGCTACATCTTTTTAACAAGCAAGGAGAGCAGAAAAAGACATAGACAGTTACAGGCAAACATAGACAGACAGACAGACATTGTGTGGAATGTGCGTGCGTGGGAAGGCAGGTTGAGGTCTCACGAGTTAGGCAGTGGCGGATGTGCAAGCAGTAGGTGCGGTGGAAGGGAGGGATGGTGAGATGCAGAGAGGCCATGAGGTGAGCCATTACCTGCTCACACTCACACACACATCCAGGTGCGCACATGCGGACACATATGTCATAGACAGACATGCACATATCCACACATGCGCACACATGCACACACACGCAAGTGCAAACGAACATGCACAGTATCGAGCAAGGGTGGTATGCATGCAGGGCAGCATGCAAGCATCGTGTGCAGTTGAAAGGTGCTGCAGGGTAGAGACGTTCAAGTGGCTAGAGTGCTGCAAGCACGACATTAAGCCCTGAGAATCTGTCCAAAAGTCTCGAAAGTCGAGTAACTAGTGATGCAAAACCAGAGCACAGCACGATTCACTTGATCCACACGCGCTGCAATGACGAGCGACGCCTTCTTGTCCTTGGGGGTTTTCTGCTCTATCACCCATGCATGCACGCACCAACACAAGCACATGCACATGCACATGCACATGCACATACACATGCACATACACATGCACATGCACACAGGCACACATTCTTGGAACCACATAGCTAGCAAGCAGACAATGAGGCATCAGGCTGTGCCGTGCACCGAGTGGAGCACCATGAAAGGTGATGCAAGTGACATAAGGAACCACCTGAAGAAACACCTGAGGATAAGACCCCTCGTACAGCCACGTGCCTGATAATCAAACACCTAGAAAACAACCTGAACGTCACCTGGGCATCACCTGGAGGTTGACGATGACAATGCGGCCCCCATTGCGCAGCGCTCGCAGGGGAAGGTTGGCCGCTGGGGTGATCTGCAGACTGGGGCCGTGCGGGTGGCATGCAGGCATGGGGAAGATGGAGAGGTGGATGTGAGAGAGAGAGAGACGGGAGATTGCGAGAGATCAAGGGGTGCACATGAAGTGGCATGAAGGGATGGTGTGGCACGTATGAATGACGTGGAGTGGCATGTGCACGTGGTCTGATCTGCATGTATCGAGTTCACTGGAAGAAAGGGTGACAAGGAGGGTGGGGGAGTGGAGGGACAAACGATAGAGCAAACGAGGAAAAAGAGGAACGGAAAAGAGAAGGAGGGGAAGGGAGGGGGGGGAGGAATGGGGGAGCCGGGGAGGTGGCACCTGGTGGCGAGGCAGAGCACGAGGTCGGCCTGAGAGCACTCGTCCTCTGCTCGCTGCAGCTCCGAGGGCGGCAGTGCGTCCTGAAGGGCATGGGGTCATGGGGGCAATGGGGTATGGGGGTATGGGGTGATGGGGGGCATGGGGTGGGGTGATGGAGGGTATGGGGTGATAGAGGGTATGGGGTGAGGGTGACAGGGTATGAGGCATGGACACGGTTACAGAGTATGGTGTGTGGAGAATGTGGTAACGGGTAACAGGCCAAAACGGGAAGCATTGGTTCATATCAGATTGCAAGGCCGCAGGCCTCATGTCCCATCTGACATGTCCCATGTGACATGCCCCATGTGACATGCCCCATGCGCCATGCCCCATGCACCATGCCCCACGCCCCCCTCCCCATGCCCCATACCACACGGCACCCGCGCCCACCTCCCAATCGAGCACGGAGTCACGCAGGCGAGGAGCAGTACCCAGAACCATGCACGTCACAGATGTGCCGTGACAGCCATACCCGTGCCCCACTGGCACCCTGCACCCTGTGCTTCATGCCATACATGCCCCCCCTACAACCCCCACCTCCCAGTCGAGCACGGAGTTGCGCAGGCGGGGCGCAGTGCCCAGAACCAGGCATGCCGCAGACGTGCAGCAACAGTGATAGCCGTGCCCCACTGCCCCCCGTCAGCCCGTACAATACCATACATGCCCCCCCCTCCAACCCCCACCTCCCAGTCGAGTACAGAGTCGCGCAGGCGAGGCGCAGTGCCCAGCGCCACGCACACTGCTGACGTGCAGCGACGGCGAGATGCCTTCTGCCCGATGCTCTCCAGCTCAAACGCGCGCTGGTACCTGGCTTGATGCCATGCCATGCGATGGGAGAGGGAAAGCGATGATGTGGAAAGACTCAAGGAAGGGTAGAGAAAAAAGGGCGGTGGGGAAGTAATGTGTCATGACACATACCACAAGGCAACAAGGGAGAGGTAAAGATGGAGCCACATGTCGTGACGGTGATAGGTCATGCAGGCGTGGAGAAGACAGCATGTGAGGAGGCGCCAATGAGTGAGTGTAAATTGCCAAGTGAGTGAGTCCATGAGAGCACAAGTCAAGCAAGAAGCACAAGTCAAGCACTTAGGAGCCACGATTCACGTAGCGCCGGGTGGATCGAAGGTATTCCTGAGGCGTCGAAGGTTAGGAGCCGAAGGGAGGCAGCGGCCTGTATACGATTTTTCTAACGGCGTTTCAGCTTTTCGGACCACCATTGCCTTCGAACGAAGTCGACCTTGCAGGCTGACAGAAACACTGTTTCTAGCGAAAATAGGATTCGATGTAGAGCACCACTGTGATACAGGGTCTGCGTCTCGAACACCTGGTCGCATCTGTTTCGCCAGAGGGTGTGAACAGCCGCACGGACCAGAAGGCACCAGGGGGCGATATTTTCAGCAGGGTGCGCGGGTGGGAATAACACAGCTTCCTCCGCGAAAGTACCAGGTAAGTGTCGCGAGGCAGAACGATGTAGGGCTGCCATGACTAGGGGGGCGTCTATACATTCGAAGAAGATGCCCCCCTAGTCATGGCAACCCTACATCGTTCTGTCTCGCGACACTTACCTGGTACTTTCGCGGAGGAAGCTGTGTTATTCCCACCCGCGCACCCTGCTGGAAATATCGCCCCCTGGTGCCTTCTAGTCCGTGCGGCTGTTCACACCCTCTGGCAAGACAGATGCGACCAGGTGTTCGAGACGCAGACCCCGGAACACAGTGGTGCTCTACATCGAATCCTCTTTCCGCTAGAAACAGTGTTTCTGTCAGCCTGCAAGGTCGACTTCGCTCGAAGGCAATGGTGGTCCGAAAAGCTGAAACGCTGTAAGAAAAATCGTGTACAGGCCGCCGCCTCCCTTCGGCTCCTAACCTTCGACGCCTCAGGAATACCTTCGATCCACCCGGCGCTACGTGAATCGTGGCTCCTATCAAGTCAAGCAAGAGAGGCGTGCAAGAGAGGCGTGCAAGAGAGGCGTGCAAGAGTGGAGCATACTCGGCCCCACAGCGGTGGCAGAGCTCTCGGAAGCAGCTGCCATGCAGCTCCACCAGATGACTGCGCGGCACCCCCGAGCGCGCATGCAACCCATCCACGTTCTGATGGGTTATGGCATGGGGCAGGTGTGAAGGGAGAGAGGAGACGAGTGATGAGGGAGACGGAGGTCTTCCCTGCTCCCACCCTGCTCTAACACACACACAGACACACTCTCTCCCCCTCATACACAAACGTACACTCTCTCTCGCACTCCCTGATGCCGTACCTGGCTAATGATACACTGCAAGCGACCGAGTCGGAGCAGGTGCAGCAGTGCCATGTGAGTGAGCGACGGCACTGCGTCCCCAAACGCCTTCATGCTGCTCGGTAGAGCCTCCCCGCGCCGCTGATTCCCGCACCACCAGTGGGGGTGGTGGATCGTCGGAAAGACAGGCGGACGGACAGACGGTGAGGGAAGCAGGCAGTCTCAAGGAGAGGAATGTAAGCAAAGGCGAGATGGAAATGGAACGATTAGAGAGAGAGAAGGGCCAGAGGTGGTAAGGAAAGGCCAGCGGAAAAATGGGATGGAGAGGGAAGCGTGGTGTGGGAGGGGAGCAACGGGGCCAAAATATTCAGTCACCCATCCCATCCATCACATGGGCAGCTGTACCCCGTCTCCCTCCTCCTGTGCTCAACCCCCACTCACCTTGCTGCTCAGGATTTCCCCTGCTCCCTGCACAACAACTCCATTCTGCCCCTCCCCTCCCCCCCCCCCCCTTCTCCTCACGCACCTGCAGCGTCCATATGCCTGAGGGCCCTCGGAAGTCCGGCACGCCTGCTGCAGTGGAGATGCCTGCTCCCGTGAAAGCCACCACTCGCCGGCTCTGGCGGGGCAGGAGGAAGCGTGGGCGCGGAAAGGGAGTTGGAAAGAATTCTCGTGAGCAGCATAGAAAGCGGTGGCCGAAGAGGGTGCAGGCTTGAAGTTAACCTACAGGCAAAGTTAACTGTGATTCGATGTGATGTGATGTGATGTGATGTGATGTGATGTGATGTGATGTGATGTGATGTGATGTGATGTGATGTGATGTGATGTGATGTGATGTGATGTGATGATGACATGTGTGCATGGAGAGGAGGAGAGGGGTGCAGGCAGGAGCGCATGATAGGGGAGCAGGAGACTCACGGAGGTGAAAATATCGACCAGCTGGTGCAGCTGCCCAGATTCAGTGGAGCGCATGGCGAGGCATGGCAAGGGGTGGGATGGGGTGGGATGGGGTGGGATGGGAAAGTATGGGGGGAGGCATGGGGATTATTGAAGGAAGATATGTATGCATGCGTGCACAGATGGATGCACGGACGGATGGACTGATCTGATATTGTCCTGGAACGACGAAAGAGAGCAATGCGCTGTCGCTAGTTCGCCCGACCCCTAGCACAATATGCTGCTGCTTCGCTGCAACTCCCTTCGCCCCCTCACTCACTACCCTCTCGGTCAATCCCCTCTTCACCCCCCCCACGCCATAAACCACGCACCTTGCGGCGGAGCTCCTCCCCCGACTCCTCATATTCCGGCGACCCCACCGTCCCCACGTCCTCGCGGTACGACAGCTTCGCCGCGTATCCCGCCGACATGCCCGCACGTCGCACACGTCGCACAGGGCGCGCAGGTCGCACAAGCTGCACACGCCACACACGCCGAATGGGCCGAAGAGGCCTTAGGCCGCACAGGACGCGCAGGTCTCCCCCACCTAGGCTCGCACAGCGGTCGTCTGCCAAATGAAAGTACGACTCAGACGAGTCGCGAGCCCATATACTCTTAACCGAGTCGCGTATGTTGAGCCGCGCGTTCCAACAACTCGCAATTCGCGGTCAGCCCACAAGTACTCACTCAGGCAATGTCACGGTCACAGCTGCTTCTCGCCTATCGTATTGCACACGCCAGTCGAAGCAGCCCTTGTGGAATGAAAAACGGAAATCCTCTCTCGCCTGTCATGTCAATTCAGCCGAATGAGCTCGCCACCGCGATGTCGTTTCATCCAAGCCATGGTTGGGTGCGGTTAATGTGGAATATTCTCAATTTTGTGAGGCTAGAATCACTGTGCAGTGTTTCTTTATATTAATGTACATGCATTCGGTATCACGGCAACTTTCCTTTGTGGCCTCAACCGCCGCGAGTTCGAATCCGGCTACGCGCAGTTTTTCCCCTCACCCCACCAGTGGAGTTTGGTGTGTTCCTGTACAGGGTGAGCAACACCAGCCCAGGCGAGAACAGGCACATACGCGTCCCGAGTCAGCTTTCACTCCCCTTGCAGTATTTCTGAGCTGTCCGCTGCCTGAATCAAGTTCGCGCGACCCGCGAGGCGTTTCTGTTCCGAGGTTCCTAGATGCTCCGCGCGCGAGATTCACCCGAGGATTCTGCACAACCGCTCATCCCCGACAACCGCATAGCCCTCGATGCACCGCAACCACCCGACGGAGAAACGGGAGATGCCGCGGGGAGCGCGGCGGGATCGGAGCACAATTCCGCGCAAGCGCAAGTGGAATCCCTCCCAAGCGGCGCAACTGGAGCGCGCATGCCCTGGTGGGGCGCGCCGCTTCTCTGCCTCGCGCTCGTCGCCGTCTCTTCCGCCGGCGCCGTCACGAAAACCATTCGCGACGCCGATCCCGTCGCTGTCGCAAGCTGGCGACTGCAAGCGTCGTCGCTCGTGCTCCTCCCAGGCTTCTTATTCGAGCTCATCCAGTTCCTGCTGACGTGGCGCAGTCAGCGCAGTCGCCGCGAGCGCATCCTCTCTCGAACCACCGCACATTCAATCGGAGAATCTCTTAACGAAACCGAATCTGCGCGTATCCTTTCCGAGGAGGATCCCGATATTCCGGAACTCGAACAGCAGTTGCAGCAGCACGCTTCTACCACGCCAATCAGCCAACGCAGCCAACGCGACGATACTTCCCCCTTACCTCAACCGCACACTACCCTCACCTCCCCTCCACTCCCCCCTCCTCTCACCCTCGTCCTCCTCCTCCTCCTCTCCGCGTGCGCACTCGCCCTCCATTTCGCGCTCTGGATTCTCTCCCTGCGTCTCACCTCCCTCGCGCACTCCCTCCTCTTCGTCTCCACGCCTCCGCTCCTCCTCGCGCTCGCGCATCTCGTCTCCGGCGCGCCCCTCTCGCGCGCAGAAGCGCTGGGGACGCTGCTGGGGGGGGTGGGTGCGGCGGTAGTGGCGCTGGGGCGGAGTGCGGGGATCAGCGGAGGCAGGAGCGGTGCTGGCAGGAGTTTGACCGGCGTTAGCTTGGGCAGCGGTGCTGGTGTCAGTGTTGAAAGCAGCAACAGCGTTGTTATTGGTGGTAGTGCTGCTGGTGGTGGTGGCTTTGGTAGCGGTGGTTCTCTTGGTGGTGGTAATAATAACGATGACGATGCTGTATCCATGCAAGGGGATGTGGCAGCACTGCTAGCAGCAGCAGCATTCGTGGTGTATGTGTGGGTGGGAGGGAGAGCGCGCAAATCCCTCCCTCTGCATCTCTACGCCCTGCCTGTGACCGCAGCTGCAGGAATCATGCTCGCTGCTGCTGCATGCCTCACTCCTCTCATGGACCCCTCGCATGCATGCCCTTCCCATACCATCACAACACAGTGCTGCTGCTGCTGCTGCTGCTGCAGGAACAGCAGCAGGAGTAACAACAGTAGCAGCAGCAAGTGTGCCAGGCTTTGCATCATTTGTTGCAGCAGGACCTGTAGTGGGAATAGCAACAGGAGCAGGAGCGGCAGGAGCAGGAAAAGCCCTACTAGCTCCACAACCATCACCCCCACTGCCAGCCCCACCCCCACCGCCCACCCACTGCACAACATGGCAGCCCCTTGGCTGGCTCTCTCCCCCGTTCCTCGCACCCACGCTCTTCCTCGCCCTGGGCCCGGGGTACATGGGCCACACGGGGCTCAACGCTCTCCTGCGCTACACCACACCGCTTGTCATTGCCATTGCAATCACCGTCGAGCCCCCGCTCGGCTCGCTCATTGGCTGGGCCATCGGCCAGTCAGGCGCTCCAGATGCTGCAACGTGGGTTGGGGGGGCGCTGATGGTGGGTGCCACGCTCTGGGTGGCACTTGAAGCAGAGCGGGCGAGAGGGCGGGAATGATCGCCTGAAGTACCGATGACAGCATCACTGGTAAATCTTTTCGTGTGCAGAATACTGTGTTGGTTGGTTGTTTATATGGTAGCCTGCACTCATATTCTATAGGAAAGAATTCTGCCATGATGTGGTGCTGTACAACTCAACGGACCTGTACAATATGTTGCACTGTACATAGAAGCGACCTCGTTTTGTCGACTGCATACATAAAAGAATTATGAAGGGTCAGCACGCAACTCCGCGCCTTGCCCGAGAATGATATGTGCACAGAAGATGGTGCAGCAGGCCAGGCACGGTTGGCTGCAGTGCAGGTCGCCTCAGCCTGAATGGGCTTGTCAGCTCTGTTGCTGTTAGTGCTGCTGCTGAGCTGCTCTTTGTCAATTCCCCCCACTTACCCAGTCCTGGAAACTGAAACGTTTCAGTATTTAGCAATATGTACTCTCGCATGCAAGCAATGTGCTGCATGGTTGCCTTCATGATGCCAAGTGTTGCCATCATTCTCCTGGTCACTCTATCCCACTGCTCAATCCCCACAGATGCTTAGAAGACAAGTCGCACATCCACTCCACCACCACTCTCCTCTCTCCGGTTTCTCATGCCTACCTCCCCATTCTCCTGCGCCATCGCCATCCCACCTCCCTCCCCGTCATCTCCTAATCCGTCATCTGCCACCCTACTGCTGCGAACACTGCCTACCCCCGTCACCACCGTCCCTGTCACCCCCTCACTCCCTCTCCCCAACCCCACCCCTTGCCCCACCTGCCCTCCCTCAGCCTCTTCCAACCCCCTCCCCAATCCCACCTCACCCCCTCTACTTCCTTCCTCCGACCACCTCCTCTCTTCAACTCTGCTCCCCCGTCTGCTCCCCCCCACACTCCCATCTTCCACCCCAACCCCAATCCCCTCTGGTGGATCCAGCGAAATCATGAACCCCTTAGCAGTGTCAAAATGATACAGCATGACAACCAGCAGCAGAGAGGAGAGCAGCATGGGGATGGGGCCAAATAGCCAGAGCAGGAGCGGGAACGCGCAGTAGAAGGCGCGTGTGCCAATGGTGTAGAAGTTGCTACCGTGTGCCAGCACTGCTGCCACGTAGTCTGGGGACAGGCCCTGTGCTTGCGGGCCCAAGGGGATGTTGATGAGGAAGTTGACGTGGTTGGTGTAGCGAATTGACTGCAGGAGTGCGTTGGTGGGAAATTTGATAGGAAATAAGGGAAGGTTGAGGAGGTGGGAATGGGAATCAGGTGGGGGATGCACTGAGTTTGAAAGGTGGACCACCGAAATGTTTTGAAAGCTAGAAGGGTGCGCTGGCAACAGAACAACAAAAAATCACCTGGACATGGCAGACGAAAGCGAAGAGGAAGCAGAGGAAGATGGAGATAAACTTGACAGCCACAACGGCAGGCGCTCTGGACCCCAGTGTGACTGCAAACACCGACGCTTTCACGTCCGCTGTGGCTGCTGAGGTGATGAAAGCGGCGATGCCTGAGGAGAGGATGATGGCCGTGGTGGCGAGCAGTGTTGACGCCATGATGTGGTTGCGCAGCGTCTGCACTGCCAGAATGCTCTTCTTGTCCACATCCTGGACGCGGGACGGGGAGAGAGGTGGGTGATTTTTTATATGTTTGGTATGATTTCTGATCTCGTCCAGTGAGGAGAAGGAGGGTTGGGTGGAAGGGGCGTAAGACAAGGGGTTGCACCGTGTGACTTGAACGTGCAGGTCCCGGATCAAATTCAAGGTATGATTGGAAGGAATGATTTTGATTGAGTGGTATCTTCCCCTGCATCTACTTTTCGGAGGCAAAGGGTGGATGGACCATGAATGGTTCCGGACGAACGACTGGTGCCACCAGTGGGTTGTGCGAGAAAAAAACAACGGAAAAACATGGCATGGTGTGACTGATTTTAAGGCTTAACAAACTTTCTACTTTTCATGGAAGCCACGTCAAAATCCATAAATGACGTCGAGTGAGATTGAGAGCGCAGCACGGCGGACGGAGAATGATCATGTCGAGCCTGGCGCGCTACTGAACCACGCGTACGGCTTTCCCAAGTAGCTCTCTCCTTTTAGCAGCAAAGATTTTGATGGCTGCTAGAACACTCACCTTCATAATACTGTACACCCATGCTCTCCGGTTGAGATGATTCACGCCGATTACAGTCTTCATGGGATTCCGCTTTACTCGCATGTATAGCACTATGTTGTACAATAATAGAACCGCCAAGCCGACAGGAACAAGAACCACGTCTAGGATGAGCTCCGGTGGTGGCGACGACATGCTGTTGGGCTCGCTCAAACTCGAAAGCTTCAAAATTGTCCTCAAATGGAAATTTACCAATTCGGGTGAATGACCGCGCACGCTATCAGTGAAGTACGGAGTGCAGAAAGAAGGCGGACGGCAATACATGAATTGATTTCACGGATTTCATGGGAATCAAGCTGTTGGGAGTGCACGTTTCCAGCGCGGGTAAGACATCTTTCGACAGCAGATGACTGAAGGTATTGATGTCCGCCATTGTGTTTGGAAGGCTGATACTGGGTGTTCCCAAGGCTGTGCGCTCAAAAAGAGCTTTGCTGCTGCGAAACAAGATTTTGCGAAAGGCTTGCTCGCGAAGTCCTCCCTTTGTTTCGTCACTTCCCTGGTTTGGGAGCACGGTTGCATCCATCTGCGCGATAGCTGGCAGGGCCTTCAGACTGTACCTTTCGCCAAACCGCCACTCCCCCGTTGAAACGTCATCTTGCAGGTTCGCGACAACCTTCCTCAAACACACGGGAGATTCGCCAGCGGCATGGGGAAATGCTGCAGAGTTTGCCCGTCAGCCCTCCAACCACATCAATGGCTAGTGTACAGTGAGTTCGAGGGCTCCCCTGAGGGCATTTGATATTGCAAATGCGAGACGAGAACCCAAGTTATCTTGGATCGAAATGCATCCATGAAACAAAGTTCTCTTGTCAACCTTCAGGGAGCATGATGCAGAGCCCGCTGTCTATCTACAAGGACGGGAGGTTTGAGAAATTGATATGCTACATTACTATCACAGGATAAAGCAGGCGCACACGCCTTATAAAGAAATAGTGGCAATGCCGTTTATGCACATAAGGGAAGGACATACTGGTGCAACCAGCACGCCACCCAGCTGCTGCTTTCATTACCAACCAGCTCAGAAGGCCCTGATCACAGCATTCCCAATGTCAACCCAACCCAACCCAACCCAATCCACCAAACACAGGCTTACAACCCCAATCAACTGGAAGTAGTCCAGCCACAGCAAAGCACTAGATAAGCATAGCGAGCAGAGAGGGATAAGGGAGAAGAGAGAGGTACCAGATTACGCTTAGGCATCACCTCGCAACGGCTGTATGCTGCCGCTGGCTTCAGAACCAATGTAGACTTGACATATTCTTGTCCAACAGTCTTCCAAACCTGTTGACCCTTCCCAGCCATTGTCATGCTGAACCACCCACTTGATGTGGCAGCACAAAGGCTTTCCCTCCCCATTATTGTTACAATCACAATTCCAGCAAAGCAACTCCTTGTAAGCCACGAGACATTCACGACTTGCCATCCGCGTGGCCCCCAGGGTACGTTGCAGCAGCGGCAGCATTCCTTGCAGCAGCAGCAGCTGCGGCACTGGCAGCGTCCGTGCCTGCATTGATTGGGTGGAACGCTGACACGTGATGGAAGGCAGCAGGGGCGCCAGTTGGATGGAACGCATGCTGCTGGCCCGTGTGCTGCTGAAACGCTTGAGCTGACGCCATGGATGCACCAGGAAAGTTGCCAACGCCGCTGAATGGGTAGAAGCCCATTCCTCCTGCAAAGCCTAGGTCGAATCCGGCAATCTGCTGCTGCTGTTGCTGCTGCTGCTGCTGTGACTGCTGTTGTTGCTGCTGAGCTGCTTGCTGCTGCTGCTGCTGCTGCTGCTGCTGCTGCTGGTGTTGCTGCTGCTGCTGCTGTTGCTGTTGTTGCTGCTGCTGCTGCTGCTGCTGCTGCTGCTGCTGCTGCTGCTGCTGCTGCTGCTGCTGCTGTTGGTGCTGTTGCAACTGAATTTGCTGCTGGTGCTGCTGCAAGCTGTTCATCATAAACTGCTGTGCTGCTGCCTCTTGAGCAGCCATCCCAGCAGCATCAGTGGCAGTGTTCCCTCCAGTGGCAGACGCACCTGCTGCCACGTTGGCAGCACCGCTGTCCAAAAGCTGGTAACCGCTAACAGCGCCATTGTTGATGCCACCAGCAGCAGTGCCTGAAGGCCGAGAGAGTTCCTCGTTGCTCGTTCCAGCACCAGGAGAATCGCTCACGTCATCGCTGCTTCCTGACACATCCTGCTTGTCGTTTCCACTGTCAATCGCTTGCTGCACGGATACGCGTTTCTGAGACGAAGTCGGAGCGCGCCGATTTGCACGCTTGGGCTGTTTTTTCTCCTCGTCTTTACCAGCCGAGTGATCGTCGGCTGACTCGCCATTTTCTTTCCTTGCCAGCTCTTCCAGTTGTTTCGTGTTTAGGAAACGACCACCACAGCCACGGGCACGCCTCAACGCATGTTGATGTCGTGACTCGTGAAGATAAGGCTGCAACAGAAGAGGATGAAGAGATAAACCCAAACAAAAAACGGAAACAGGAATGCAACAAAAATAAGTGACAGCCAAGAAGTAAAGGCAGTTGACTCAACTTCGAACCTAGAAACACGAATCATAACGTTCTTCACTCCCGTTTCAACCACTCCACATACGACCCTTCGTCAGAGTCCCAAACATGCACGCGCGCGGAACCTGCTCGTAAGTTTGTGACGGACCTTGCGAGCTTTGACGAGCCTATTCTCTGCCTCTGCTTTAGCACGCGCCTGGCGGCGGCGCAGAATGCCATGATATTGCTTGGCGTTGACATAAACTGGCTCCTCCTCCACGATCTCTGACGGCAGCGCCATGCGAGCTTGCTGTTGCATCCCCAACAAGTGTGGTGCCATCTGAAAGCGGGGAAATACGCAAGATTAAGAACGCACAACGAGAATAATAGTATTATAACAACAACACAAACATTAAAAAGGGACTAAATGAGGATTTTGTTTGACTAAAGACGAGGCTGAAACGAAATATGGTATTACCAGAGCCTGAGAGCCAAATGTCACTATGTTCCCATAATACGGGTCTGTTGTCGCATACGGATAAGCAACGTGTTGTGCGGCCTGAAAGCAAGAAATAATAAACCAATAAATAAATGAAAAAACAATTGTCGGAGACAATCGTGCCATGAAAGCTCATAACACAGTAGCGCAAGAACAGATCGCAGAGCAGCAACGAACGCGTTGACGAGAGGAAAATAGAAAGAAAGAAGGAAAAACGCCGATCTAGAAGATCACGTGTGGGCAGAGGGCGTACAAGAGCGGCTGAACCAAGGTCGACGGAAACATGCGGTATGGTAATGTATTCAGTGTGTCCGCCTGGCATTCCGGAACCGGCGGCCGCTGCCGCTGCCGCTGCTGCCGCAGCGGCGGCAATATTTTGCTGGTTTTGGTGATCTTCATGTGCCGCTGCAGCCATGACAGCCCCTGCGAACCACGTGAGAGTTTTGGAAACGCAAAACCAAGAACGAGAAACAGTGAGAAAGAGGAAGACGAAGATATAGCATCTGAGTAGGTGTAACACGCACAACGAAATAAGAAAAACGGGAAGACTGAAGGCTACCAAAGAAAAGACCCTCCAAAACATCAAAAACAACAAAAAAAAAGGAAAAAAAAGAACGACATAACATTCTTACCTGGATGTGTAGCCATGGATGTGCAGGGCTAAGCGGCCTATTTTGCTACTGTTAACGAGTCGTAAGTCAAGGACCGTGGCGCGCAGTGATGGAGACACCCCTAGGAAAACACAAAACGAGTCAACAGGATAACCTGCCATAAAACGGGAGAGACAAAGTTCAGACTAGAAGCCTAAAACCGGAAGATACTAGAAAATATCAACCGGATCCGGGACATTCCACGTCAGAGCTAGTCTTTATTGCGTCATTGCAATGGCAAGTCAGGGCAGCCATAGTTTTAAGCGGCGCTAACCTGGAGGTAAGAGGTCAAGGTCGCACGCAGCAGGCAGAGGGAGGGGAGGGGAGCGGAGGAGAGCAGAGAGAGGTGGAGCAAACCCTAGGAAGCGCCGAGTGTTGTTTGATTGGTTGCAGGGCCACACGTTGTATACACACCGAATGGCTGCGAGCCAGCTGCTGGAGACCCCCAGAGATGATGGGAAAACTGGTCATGCGTGCTTATGACGAGTGTGACAATGAGACACAGTTCGTGATGCTTCGAGCCGATTGGATGAGACAATGCTGCAAACCCCGATGCAGAGAATGTTTGGAGTGCACTGTTTCAGCACATGCGACCGCACTGTTACTTTGACCACAACATTGCCAGTCTTCATATATTGATATGTACACTATTTAAGCTGACATCTTAGGTTTGAGTGTGCCCTAAGCACTTTTGATGCAAAGAGAGTGCCAAACAAGTTATGGCATTCTTGACAATCTCAGTTTATACAATCTCGAAATTCAAATATTATGTCAAACTACTTTATTTTCGAACGTTTGGCTCCACATGTTTTGGCTCCTAGCGGCAAGGGTGCTCGTTTTGAGCCTGCTCCATCTCCCGATTTGACATCCTTCAAAGCAACCTCCGCCTGCTGCATTTGCCTGACAGAATCCAACACAGAACCTTCCGTCACCCTGCCGGCCACAGCCCCACCAACCGCCGCTGCACCCCCAAGTTTCTTCCCAAACGGGTTACACGGCTTAGCACTTCCAGCAGCTGGTTTTGTCCCGCCTGCACCACCAGCACCTGCCTCCTCACCTCTCGCACTACCAATGTCCGTGGCAGTGCCTTTGGCAGCAGATTTGGGGCTGGAGCAATCTGCAGCAACAGCATTGTCAGAACCCTTGGGAGTTGCTCCCGCGTTCTTTTGACCGCCTGCTGTTCCTTTCTGGTTTGCTCCTGGGCCTTTCTTGACAAACATCGGGGCCAATGATGCGGCTACACTCTTCTGTGTGGAAGGGGAAGGCTCGGGACATGAGCGTTCCTTACGAGGAGGCTCACTTGAAGGCTGTTGTGGTTGCGGCTGCTGTGGCTGAGAACGATTGGCACTACTTGGTGGGTCGGGGAAAACTCGTGTTTGTGTTACTGGCTGCTGCTGCTGCTTCTGCTGCTGCTCCTTACGTTGCTGAATCCTCTGTTCGTCTTCTTCAGCTCGCAAGCGCTCCTGAAAGGAAGAATGAAATCATAGGAAGACAGACAAGGAAGCATCTGTTAAGCTGCGTTCACTCACGCAAGACCTCATTGTCCCCCTTACCCTCTGTAAAAACACCAAACCTGCTACTCTACTACGCTCCCGCTCATAACCACCCCTCCCCTGCAACCCACTCCCTCCTCCCCCCTCCCCCCCACTCCCCCCCCCCCCTCCCAAACCCACTCCCTTCCATATCCCCCCATGCAACCCAGCAGCAGCAAGCAGTACATAACCACCCAGTCCACCCCAGTCCACCGCACTCCACCGCTCACTAACCTGCAGCAGCGAGTGCAAGCGCTCAGCAAGCACGGGCAGGCGCAGTGCAGAGGTGAGCTTGACAGCGCCCTGCAGGCTCTTCCTCAGCGACAGCATGGTGCCCAGCTCCATCGCCCGCTCTAGCTTGTCCCCTGGTGCACACACGGGGGGAAGAGAGGAAAAAGGGGGGCGACGGAAGGGGAGTGGGGGGGTGAGAGGGGACGGTGGTGTGCGGAAAGGAAGAGGGAAATGCGTAAGTGGGGAACCAAGGGCAAAAGTTGACCGCAAAAATCATCATATCAATTGATGGTGGGAAACTGGAGGGTGGAGGGTTAGAGGAAGTTGGAGGTGCCTGCCAGGCAGGAGGGAGTGAAGGAGCAGCAACACCAGTCACAACACGGCATCAGGCAGGAGACACAAGAGGCGTACCTTTAGCAGCAGCGACGAGCAGGCGCAGAAGCGTCTTGTCCCTCTCAGCCTCGAGCCTCAGGAGCTCCTCCTCGTCCTCTGCTGCTGCCAGCGCCCCCTGCTCCCCCATCTGCAGCGCCTCATCCGCCACTGCCCGCACCTGGAGGACAACAAAAGGAGGAAACAAGGGGTTGGGGCGAAGCAGGAATAGGTTCATTCATTGTCTGAATAGCGGAGGGGACAATGGGTGCGCTTTGTTCCAATGATAGTACCTTTACCTTCTTCGTCATTGGATGGAGAGGGGAATTGAGAGAATCCATGAACAGCATCGCACGCCCCACGGTTGCATTGCATACGCATGCATGCCTCCTATGCTGCTCCACGTCCCAAATCACGTCAAAGCCAGCCATTGGGCACTCACGTGTGCGGTGGCAAGTGCTGAGCGCAGAAGGTCGGCCTGGAGGGAGTCAGCTGCTGCGAGGTCCGAGAGGGCGAGAGGCAGCGCCAGAGGCATCTCTGATAGCACAGGCCGAGGGAACACCTGCGGGAAAGGTTGGGAAAAAGGGACGGGTGGGGTAAAGAGGGAGAGGAGGGGAATGGGTGTGAGACGCAGCAAGAGCACGGAAGATAGTGTGGGTGCGTGTGTGCGTGTGCGTATGCGTGCGTGCTCAGAATGCAACCAACCATACAAACACAGACTTCAAAACACCAAGGCAAAGCAAGCAAGCAAGCAGCTGCGTGGCCCTTGTGGCGTACCGAGGGTTGTGGGCAGGCAGCAGTGCAGACGATGAAGAAGATGGCTTGCTCCCTGAGGTCCAGCCCCACCATCCACAGCCGGTGCGACTCACTCGTAGGCGTCGCACTCGCACTGCCACCGCACATGCATACACGGGTGGATTTCAGAGCAAGGTGGGTTAGAATGGCTTGTGGTGGGCTTGGGTTGGTTGGGATGGGATGGGATGGGATGGGATGGGTTAATTGTGTGACTGGAACGGCAGACCAAGGAGCGCACGATTGATGCCTGTAACAAGCATGTGCCATGGGAATTTCGAGGGTGGCACATGCATTTCGGAATGAGTGCCGTGCAGTGGAGAGGAGGCAGGGGAGCAGAGGGCGCACCTGAAAATGGGCATCCAGCAGCCACCAAAGTCCGGAGAGAGAATGCGCACCACGCCCTGAAGAGGAAGAACAAGACGACAGGCGGGAGGAGGACGGTCGGGGGTGAATGGAAGTCGGAGGTCATGTTCTGAGACGACTCGAGAGACACGAGAGTGGGACATCAAGGGCTCGGGCTTGGGGTTCAGCGTATATGGCTCATGATTCAGAGAAATTAACTGCAGTATCAAAAATAAGGAGACTTCAGATAAGCAGTCGAAGATATACATAACAGTGATTCGATGATTGTGAATACAACCAGAGAGATCCTAGAACCCCCGCTTGGACCCCTTGTGGAGCAGGCGGGTGGCGAGTAGGATGCTTGCCTCACCACCAATCTTGCATGCTTGTATGCATAGTGTTAATTAATACACGGACCATTCGAGAGCCCAGCCAACCCTCCCCCCCCTCCACCATTGCCCTTCCCAGTATTCCCTTCCCAACAACCAAGACACGATTTCTGGGAACAAAAACCTCTCACCTGGGAGTCGTAAGTGGCAACTGTGGGCACAGTGGTGTGGAGCGGTGCAGAGGGATCGGAGGAGGTGGTGGAGAAGCCGAGCCAGGCGAGGGAGGCGCCAGGGGAGAGGGCGATGGGCGTGCGGAGGCGCAGGGCAGAAGAATGCATGTCCAGGAGAAGTAGATGCATGGCCTGATGGGAGAAGGGGGGGAGGGAGGGAGGGAGGCCGGAGAGGAAGTAGCGGGTGGGGAGAGAAGGGTGAAACTGCGAGTTTGACTCAGAAGGCGCAGGGCGGTTGAATGCATGTCCAGAAGCAGTAGATGCATGGCGTGATGGGGGACGGGGGGGAGGGGGAGGGCGAGGAAAAGCGGACGGGGGGTTGTGGTGGGGGGAGAGGGGGGAGGTTTGAGTTTGAATCAGAAGGCACAGGGCTAAGGCATGTTTAGGAGCAGCAATGCATGGCTGGATGGGGGACGCGGAAGGGTTCAGGGCGAGGAGTGTGCGTTTGTTTGATGACGAGTGGAGAAGGGTAAAGGAGAGCGATGCAGGGTCAGGGAACACAGTGCGTAACAGAGTAACACAAAGCGTAAAACGAAGGGAAGGGGGAGGGGGGAGGAGGGGGAAGAAGGGGGGAGAAGGGTGAGGAAGCGAGGAGAAAGAGGTGCAGGCACGCTCACGTGCACCCACCCGCACCCATCCACAAACCCGCCCACAACCACACCCACACCGCCCCTGCTGTACACACCCTCCCACACCCTCCCACACCCACCCCCACCCTCCCACACCCTCCCCCACCCACCCCAACCCTCCCATACCCTCCCTCACCCTCCCCCACCCACCCCCACCCTCCCACACCCTCCCCCATCCTCCCACACCCACCCCCACCCACCCCCACCGACCTGGTGACCATCAGGGTAGGGCCCTGCGGCATGGAAGGCGAGAGCAAGGAACGCGCCCTGCCCCGCCATTGCCACCACCGGGCCTTCCAGTGACACGATTGCACGCTGCAGGCCCGTGTCTGAGAAGATGCGCAGAAAGTTGCGGGACGTTGCGGCCGCCACCCACTTGTGGCCCACGGCTATGGCTGTCACCTCCTCCCCTGCTGGCAGGCGCAGCGACCACTGGGGGGGGGAGAAGGGGGGAGGATGAAGGGGAAGGGGAAGGGGAAGAGGAAGAGGAAAAACGGTTGAGGGGGGAGTGGAATGAGGGGAAGTGTGATTGACGTGATTGGAGGGTCGTTGTTGGTGGGTATGCAAAGGTGAAAGAGAATGAGAGGCCGATTGCACAGAGGGTACCAGCAGCAACAGCAGGTGTACCAAGTACCTCGTCTGGCAAACATAAGTTACTCCACAAACACAAGGGGGCGTGCAAACATACATCGGAGGAGGGAGCCCAGGAGGTGAAGGGGCGGAAGAGAATGGTGGAGGGCTGCTTGGCGCGCGCAGGCGAGGCGAGCGCGTAGCCCCTCTCCCCCAGCACGCCCATGGTGCACCCGTAGTAATCCGTCAGCGCTGGCACACGTGTCACTGCTGCTGACGTGTCATGGAAGTCCACCTGGCAGCGAGACACGGGACGCAAGGGGCAGCAAGCCAGGGGCAATTTAGTGAGAACAATACTGAGAAGGCCTTGCCGTTACCATACCGATCCTTAAGCCGCCTCACAGGTCGAATTTGCGATCAGGGGCGCATCGCAACAATCGCAGGCCACTCACCTCCACGTGTGAGGTATCACTCTCTGCGTCCATGCGAGTGGTGACCCGCCCCACCATGTCGTATGCCAGGTAACGCAGTCGCACACCCGCTGGCCCCTCCACGCCCTCCTCCCCCTCTGCACTGCTGCCGCCTGCTACTGCTGTGAGCGTGGTTGACCCTGGTTGGAAGGGCGGCTGGAGGAAACGGGTGGAGGGAGGGAAGGGTGAAGCGGGAGAGAGAGGATGGGGAAATAAGGGGGGAAGTAGGGGAGGAGAGATTTAGATGGTTCAAGTGGGTGTGGTGCTAGGAATGAGGGCTAGCAGATAATGACTGAAGGAGCGACAGGCAAGAAACCGCGAACCGGCAACTGAGGCAAGACGGGTGAAGGGAAGAGAGGGGGAATCGCAGAAAGAGGGGTACGAGGGTGGGGAGGTGTCATGTCAGGAATGACTGAAGGGTTGACAGAAGGAAAAGCAGAAAAGAGCGACGAGAAGAGCGGCATTTCTGGTAGTTTATGAAGTCATTGAGAAACACGGGAAATGCAAACAACCAAACTGAACGAAGCACACCGCCTCCAGATAACACAATACCTCCCCACGATCATCCCACCTGCATGAACACCACCGGAGCAGCCACAGCAGCGCTCCCCTTTCTCTCCCCACGGCTCACGTGCCCCTTCCCTCCACTCCTTCCGCCGTCTCTCTTCGCGCCCCCTCTCCGCTCCTCCCGCTCCCCATCCCACCCGCCCACTTCGTCCTCCCTGTCACTCCCATCCTCCACCACGTGCCGTGCCCCTCCCCCGCCTCTCCTCCTCCCCGCATGAGCGCGAAACCCCCCCTCGCTCTCCTCCTCTCCTCCTGATTCCGCCCCCGCGTCCCCCTCACCATCCCCGCCCCTAGCCCCCCACTTCCCCTTCCCCCTGCGCCCGTTGTCATCCCCAAGGTCGTCCTCCCACACCTCCTGGTCCCCCCGCTGCCCTCTCCGCCCGCCTGCCCCGAATTTCCGCTTCCGCCACCTGCTGCGCCAGAGGAGTCTTCGAAGCGGAACAGCTCCTCCCGGGTACGACGGGCTGGGAGGGCAGGGCGGGGGATTGTAGGACGAGTGGGGGGTTGGCGGGGGCGGGATTAGGGGAAAGGTGTAAGGCCGGGGCGAGGTCGGGGGATGACGGGGACGAAAAGGGGAACGGAGGTTGTATATGAGACAGGCGCAAGCATAACAAAATGTACTCAAGTACTGCACCCGCAGATCGCTCGCCTCTTCCCCTTCACTACATCCCTGTCCTGCCCGTGCTGCCTCAAATTCCGCAAACCAGCCGCCCCTTCCCGCTCCTGCTCTTCCCCTTTCCTCCCTTTTCCCCTTTTCCCCCTTTTCTCCCTTCCGCCTCCCCTTCTCCCTGCGCTCACCCTCTTTCTGCTGTTCAATGCCCGGCCCTCCCCACTGCGGTGCCGCGTTCGGCGCTGGCATGTGGGGTGGCACGGGGCTGTGCCACACGCCGCAGCATCCGGCGCAATCAATGGCGGCGATTGCGTTGTCTGTGGGGCTCCAATGCAGGCCCGTGATTGGCGCGCCAGCATCGACACGGCACACGTCCAGGTCGAATGCGCCGTCCGCCGCCTCCACGTCCCACGCCGCCACCGTGCCGTCCGTCGCGCCGGCCGTCGCTAAGTAACGGCCGCTGGGACACCATGCAAGAACGGCGACACGAGACTTGTGCACACCCTGGCGGGGAAAGGGGGTTGCAGACCACGGAACGTGGGAGAACGAAACAAGGACGGAGAGGATGGGGAGCGGATACAAGGAGCAGCGAAACACAGGCACGCGGAGTGGTTCAAGTCAAGCCAAAAGTCAACGCAGGTCGCTCCAGGTCGTGCCAGGTCGCACCTTGAGCGTGAGCATGACGTCAGCCGTGTCGCGGTCGTAGCAGATCACGTCGCAGTCAGTCCCGGGCGCCGCCAGGAAGCTGCCGTCTGGGTGCCACGCCACGGCGCTCCGCCCCGCCACCGCTGCCGCCGCGCCGTCCGCCTCCTCCTCCGCCGCCACCGCGTCGATAACGGGGGCGACGCCACGCAGCGTGTGGAGAGGCTGGGTTGGTATACGGAATTGATGAGAGACGGTCGAGATATAAACACCTAGGATCAAGTGCTATGACATGAATGATTATGCAACGCGAGAATCCACTAAGCGCGGAGTTACGGGCTAGAAGCGCGCAGGTACTCACAATCAACCTGGACTCCAGGCGGCGACAGAGACACGTACTCTCGGAGCCCGCTCCGAGCAGCGAGATAGACCTGCCGGCGTACTTAGGCGTCGAGTGTGCTGCTGCTTGCGATAGCGTGTGCGGGCTCACCTTAGCGTCGGATATGCTCCAGATGATGACGGTCCCGTCCGCGTCGCACGACGCAAGCAGCTCGTTCTTCGGGTCGAACGCCACGCTCAGCACGGGCGCGTCGTGGCCCTGCGCGAAAGACGGGCAGTCCGGGGGCAATGGGGGAAAACATCAGAATTATTGACCGACGGACGTCGCAGCCGTGGCTGACTATTTAACTAAGGAACGGCTGGAAACTGTAGGAGCCAGACGAAACGCCTGGTAATGCTCATTTAAACAGAGTAGATGGATGCAGTGGCTAAGGCCAGTTGTGGCTATGTCTCCGTTTCAATCTGGCCGTTTCAATCTGGCCGCAAGGCGGGCTCGCACCTTGAGCACGGAGACGATAGAGGAATCGACGGTGGAGATGACCTTGATGCCCTCGTCGTCGCCCGCCGCCGCCAGCAGCCCGCCAGAGACGTTGAATGCGAGCGCGCGAATGGGGAGCGTGAAGCGCGTCACGTTGCTCTCGAACCGAGCAGCTTGGGAAGGCGACAAGAAGGTAAGAAAAGGAAGCCAATGCGACGAGCAAGAAGTATGCAGTGTTATTACATGCAGGGGACAAAAACAACTAGCTTTGGAGGCTGAATAAGAACAGTTATATAACAAACAAGAGGAATGCGCTTGGCAGAGCGGAAACGACGTGGCAGCCTACCGGGACCGATTAAAACAGACGGCCACAGTCACACACGCTGTATCGATAAAGTCACAGTTTCTTACCAGGATACGAGTGCAGTTTCACAGTGTGATCCTCCGCAGCCGTGGAGAACTTGTCGCCCATGGGACTCATCGCCAGTGTCGTCATCTGTCCCTTATGCTCCACACGCACCGTCCGCGGATCGCCCAGACTCGGCGCGCCGTCGGCGCCGGACGACGCGCTGGGCGGCTTGACGGGGAACAGTTTGACCTGATTGTCGGCGCCGGCTGTAAGAATGTTCCGGCCGTCAAGGTCGAAAAGGATGCTGCATAGGCCCGGCTCGTGGGCTGCTACCGTGAGGAAAGACTTGGACTTGCGCTTTAGGAGGGACGATCCTCCGGCGTGATCGTCGCGCATGGTTGCTGGCCCGTAAGCGCAGAGCTATTGCAACAGAGAATGAGGAAGAACAACCGAGTGTGAAAGAGATTCTAATGGCAGCGCGGAAGCATGTCAAATCCTACAATTCGCGACTCTATCACTGATGATTGTGCTTCTGGAAAACGGGAAGAAATGGACGAGGAGGAAACGGTTTACCCTAGGTTGTGGCGTGAAGAAGAAGCCGCGGGGCGACAGCATCAGCACATTGTTGTTGCAGAGCTTTGGCTAGGGCTGGTGGGGATGGTGGACCGTGGAGCTGGCTGGAGCGTCATTAGTCAGACCGCTCCTCGTGCGTGATTGGCTGGTTCGAAAACTCGAAATTTGGCTTTTGAACTTTCCGCAGTATACGCCTCTGCGTAACTATTTACTGCCAGGGAATTGTCATACTGTAATCACAAAACGAAATACGTTTTCCAATGCTGAAATAATGCACTAGGTGGTACTCTTTCTTGAAGCATCATTGCTTCGACTTCATCAACGACAAATTATAATCGCACAGTACCTTAAATAACCAAATGCAATGAAAATGAAGACATTTTGTTTGGAAATCTTTCTCATTACGTACAACCTCAATTTTCGTAAGACGAGGCTCACTCTGAAACCTAGCCCCGCAAAGCTTCCCTCCGTCTCATTCTGACTTAGAGCATCGAGGCCTGCCCCTCCCCACCTAGCTTGGGTCGGGACTTTGCACTACTTATCATTTGCATTTGTGATCACTCATAGATATCAGTGACTTGTACGCGTACTCTTCCTTTACAATTCATTACAAACTTCAAGCCAATCAATCCAAATACTAAATTGATAGACGTTAAAACTCCCTATATACCCCATACCAACAAACCATGGTGTCAGGTTGATGTCCTAGCACTGTTTCTATCATCTATTCAAGTATGACTTGTACACTGGTCCCGAGGACCAGAAAGATGATAAATATAAACCTATATATGAGGACTAACGCCTTTCCGATCTTGAGTAGGCTCCAGTGAGCGACTCCGACCGACATGTGGACAAGCAGGATTGTCAAAAGTGCCAGAATATTTTGCTGGCGCATGTGAAGGCGTTGCATTTGCAACCAGGGAACACGGGACAGAAGCCGTGCAAGCAGTCGAAACGGAAGTGTTCGGGAGAGGCATGGGGGAAGCGCGGCGCTGCTGAATGGTCCAAACTATGCTGGCCGCTGCTTGGGTGAATGGATGAAGGGCGTCTAAGAGTGAGGAGGAGTATCCCCCAGGACGGTTTGCTACTGCATAGACGCCTACAAGGTTTGAGCCTGGGAGGTGATGAGAGGGGTTGGGGTGAGGAAGAAGGGATGGAATGGTACATAACACACGCAGGATATGGTGGGTGGAGAGCCATAAAATAATATAGACAAACGCACCCAAACATTGAGTATTGCAGAGGCATCGTGCAGGCATGGTCATGTAACAACATGGAGAGAGGCACGTATGACGAGGCGATGATCATGCATGCATGCATAGTTGGTGTTGAGAACTTTCAAAAACCAACTAGAATGACAAAGTGATGCATGCATTCATGGTCAGCGCCTCAAACCCCACGCACGCACCGACAAGGAGCGGCACTCCCAGGAAGCAGTGCACAGGAGCATGCCCGGGAGGGGTCCCCGAGGAGCGAGGGTCGGAGGCGGGATGGTTGGAGATGACCGGGAGGCGCGTAGTGACGGGAGCGCCAAAGAGCGTGTTCATGTTGGCAAACACCAGCCCGCTCTGCGCGTTCCGAGCATGCCACTGCTGCAGCCCGGGTGACCAGGCTATGTTGGATATGGCGTGCGTCTGCGGGGGGCAGATGGTGGTTTGGCGTGGGGGGAAAGGGGAGGTTGAGGAGAAGTTAGAAGAGTGAGTTAAGGCAGGGGATGGGTTAGGAGCGGGACGTGGGAAGAGCTAAGGGAAGAGAATGAAACAGGGAGAGGGGGTGGGGTGGGGTGGGGGGGGGTGGGAAGAGAATGAAACGGCGATGGAGGGAACAGGGGGGTGGGGTGGGGGGGGGGTTGGGGTGGAAAGGAGAGAAGGTTCGGGCAGTGTTGACTCACTTTGATGTAGGGCGTGCCATCGGCATTGTACAGCACACTGGCAACGAAGCCAAAGGAGGAGTGGAGGAGAGAGAGCAGCGAGGACAGCAGGTACTCTCCCACCACGGATCCATTGGGTGTCTGCAATAGGTGAGGGGGGGGTGAGCGTGTGGGTGGGTGGAGGAGTTGTGTTTTGAGTCGACTCAAAACGATGCAGCTTGCTGAGAATTATGTCACAGGACAGCAGGTACTCTCCCACCAGTGAGCGATAGGTGGGGCGGGGGGAGGACAGTGAGCGTGAGGGGGTTTTGGAGGAGTTGAGGGGAAAGGAGGGTGAATGGGGAGGAAGTGAGGAAATGTGAGGATAATTCCAAGGGGAATTAGGGTGGAAGTGGGGCTGGGGGCGGGAGATCAGGGATGGCTAGTGCAGGGAAAAGCAGCGGCACACACGCATAGACACACACACAGCATACCGTGTCTCGAAGAAGTGCCTCATACGCCCCCGACACATGTGCCAGCAGTCGCTCTTGTGCCACACTACCACCCCTACCACCAGCGCCCCCTGCCACCACCACACTCCCCTCTCCCGCCGCCCCTTCTTCCGCTGCCATTGCACTGCTGCCTTGTCCCACTGCCTCTCCCTCTACCCCTGCTGCTGCCACTCCCGCTGCCCCTGCTGCAGCCGCTGCTTCCGAACTCCCACTCCTCATCCTTCCCAGCCGCGTAGGCTGCATTACCCGTGTCGGCAGGCTGCAAGCAGGGGAGCCGGGCAGAGAGGAGGAGGAGGGGGAGGGGGAGGCAGCGGCAGAGCCAAGCAAGCGAAGGGTCTCTGCTAGGACGTCACTGGCTGCTCGGTGCAGCTGCACGCGCTCTGCTGATGCCACGCGTGCGTGCTGGGACTTGAAATCAGGCTCTGCAAATGGTGCCTTGCTGCCACATGGGGCAGTAGTGTGCGGCGCAGCCTTGCTGCTGATGTCAGCGGAGGCAGGAGCAGCAGCAGCAGCAGCAGCAGCAGCAGCAGCGGCGGCGGCAGCGGTGGCGGCGGAGGTTGCAAAGAAGCGGTTGCGCTCACGTGTCATCTCGACGACACTCAGTGATCGGGTGCGCTTGACAGCGAGGGGCAGCACAGGCGCTGCTGCGAGCCCGCCACCACCACGCACAGAAGCAGGAGCAAGAGCAGCAGCAGGAGCTGCAGGAGGAGGGGAGAAAGGCCACTGAGGCCTGGTCCTAGCCACAGCAGGAGGAGGAGGGAGTGGAGTGGGGTCAGCGCCATGGGATGTGTGTGCATGTAGCGGCGCTGGCATCGAAGCGTTGATCATTGGAGATGGAACAAAGCTTGGAGATGGAGTGCGGGAGTGAGAGCTGAAGCGACCCACAGCACCAACAGCACCAACAGCAGGACCACCAGCGGCAGCCTGGGAGTGTGACCGCTTATGCACGAGCATACCGGCATGGGCTGGTGTGCTGTTACCCTGCATATGATGCAGGGGCGTGTTGGGCTGTGTGGATGCCTGCCGGGGAATCACACCACCTACTGGTCTCCCTTCTGCAAAGCTACAAACCCCACCCTGCTGCTGCTGCTGCTGCTGCTGCTGCTGCTGCTGCTGTCCCTGCCCGCCCATGGCCTCCTCTCTGCAGCCCAGCCCACTGCTCTGACGCCCCAACTGCCGCTGTTGGAGTAAGAGGGAGGAGAGGAAGGGCGAGGACTTGGCTCTGGTGATTGGTCGGCGAGAGGAGGAGGAGGAGGCGGGAGAGGGGAGAGAGGCAGGGGAAGCGCCTACAGGAGGACTCGCCCGCCACATGCGCCACTCCTCACGGCCCCTCTCCTCCTCCTCTCCGCCGTCATCGCCACCGCGGAAACCGCTCACGCCGCGACGAGACGCGTCAGCAGCTTCAGCGGTGGCGGCGGCGGCGGCAATTGCGACGGCTTCAACGCTGGCGACGGTGCGCAGGAACGCGCGCTCGTTGGCTCTGAATTCTCGTTCCAACGGCTCCGCGAGGGGCAGGGGAAGGGGCAGCGGAACTCCGCCCATGGCGCGCGGTACGACGCACGTGCGCAGGAACGCGGGGAGCACGCGGCGGGAGGGCATCGCAAGGCAGGTGCTGGGCGGAAGCTCAGGGGAAGACGAGGGCGACGGCGGGGAGGAGTGCGCGGAAGAGGTCAGGAACACTCCGCCACCGCTGCTCGCGCTGTAACCCCCGCGGCCCCCGCCGCGATCGGCGGCGTCTTCTACTGCAGCTGGCGCGACGCCGCAGTGACGAGCCGCAGCGGCACAGGCGGCGGCAGCAGCAACTGAAACCGGCGGGACATGCGCGGCGGAAGCTGGCGGGAGAGGCGCAACGGTGGCGGGGGACGGCGGGGGAACGGACAGATACGAGCCGAAGTGAGAGCAGCTGGCGGAACGGGCGAGTGCAGCGCGGGAAAGCGACGGGCGGCGGAAGAGCGCGGGGTCAGCGCCAGCGCCGTTGGCGGAACCTGTAGCGCCAGCCACAAGCGGTTCCGCGAGCCTTCCGAATAAGTCCTCCACCTGCCATCCGCGCGCGTTCCCGCTCGCGCTCCCTTCCGCTTCTGCACGCTTCTGCGACCTTTCCCCGTTCTCCTGGGGAAGCGCTGCGCTCCCGTTCTCCCCCGACTCGTCGCGCCCGCGCGTCCCCGCGGCGCTTGTCGACGGGGCTTCCTCCACAGAGTGGCACCGGCGCGCTGCGCCCGCTGCGCTTCCGCGCAGGCTCCGCTCCTCCCCCCGCGCGGACCCCCCTTTCCGCCGCCCGCTCTGCGCCCTGCCCTTCCCGCGGCTCTTGCTTCGCCGCAGCTTAACGGGGCTGCTGGCGGAAGCGGCGGACTGCCCGGCGCCGCCGAAAGCGGAGTGAAGCGCGCCAATAGAAGCCCAGCGTAGGAGATGCGTAGTGGCGCCGTGACTGGCGCCGTGATTGTTGCTCTGGCTTTCCGTCGAAACCAGGGAATGTGTAGCGGGAATGACGTCACTCTGCGCGCTCACTTCCCACTCCTGCCCGCCCTTCCGCCCGCCTCTCCCGCTGAGTCCTCCTCCCCCACCGGCTGTTCCATTCAGTTGTTCCAATTCCGCCGCGTTCAGCGGCGGTAGCGGGAGCGTTAGCAAGCCGTCATCCTCCGCGCCTGGCGCTCCCCTTCCGCGCAACCCCTCTTCCCCCCTGCTTTCTTCCGCGCTCTCCTCCCAGCTCCGCCCCCGTGCGCAGCCAGCCGCGGCATGGCCGGAGGGAAGAGGGGCAACAGGAGTGACCGCAGGAGTGTTTCGCGCAAGCCCGCTACTCCTATTATTAATATAGACGTTAATCAGCCCGGGAGTGGTAGCGGGCGCGGGGCGCGCGGAGGCGGGGGTTATGGTCCCCCTGGGCGGTGTGGCGGTGCGCGGCGGCGAGGGGACGACGACGAATGGCGGATGCGGGCGCCGCTTGCGCGCGGTGAGACTGCGGCTGCGGTGAAGGTTCGCACTGCTGCTGCACGATTCCCGCCCCGCAACAACCGTTGCCGCACCGGCCGCGGAAGTGACATGATTGCCCCCTAAACCAGCAGCAACCGCAGCAGCCGCGTCGGCGGCGCCGCTAATGGCGCTTGCATTGCTGCTTGTGGTGGTGATCAGATTCTCGCAATTACCATCGGCAGCGGCGGCGGCGGTGGCGGCGGCGTCGCTGGTGCAAGGGTGAACGACGGCGCTCAAATCCGCAACCCCCCCAATCCGCGCACCTTGCGCAGAGTCCACAGCGGTGGGCGAGGGGAGCGCGCTCGACGGCCCGGCGGAAGCAGAGTGCCTGCGCGGTATTTCCGCCCTTCGCCTGGAACCTTCAACCTGCCCCGGGCAGTTGCTCAGCTGCCCGTGAACAAAACTCGGCCCCGCCGTTCCGCTTGTGACGGGAAGACTCTCTTGCCGCTGGAGCGCATGTGGCGGCGTGGCGGGGATTAAGGAAGAGTCTAGACTGGCCTGGCGGTCCCAGACCGACATGCGCGCGGACGTGCAGGGGGAGGCTGAGAGGGAGTGCGCGCACGGGGGCGCGGGCAGCGGGGCGAGGGCGGGGGCCGCGGGGAGCGCGCGGAGGAGGTGGAGGAGAGAGGCGACGCGGGGAGTGAATGTGACGTCAACGGGTCGCCTTGCCCCGCACTCGACGCACCTGCGATGAAAGGCGGGGTAACAGGGTAGGCAGGTGGGTGCGGGATGGGGAGGGAAAAAGCAATGTGGGAGGATGAGAGTGAAGGGGATTCGAGAAACAGGACACAGCGAGGAAGTTTCGAGCTGGAGGGACTTTGACCAATCTATGTGAATGCAGCCATGCACCGCCTGTGAAAGGGAGAGATTCGCGGTCAGAGGAGCCACTCCTCAAGCGGTCATGGCGGCCATGCCGGTGATTCAAGCGGCAAGACGCGCAAGAATGTCACAGGAACGGAATCTCTGCGCGGCTTACCGCCATCCACTCTCCGCCCAATGCTGCAGCGCCGACCAGTCCCCCTCCGTAAGCCCCGCGAGGAGCGGCAGCAGCTGCTCGTAGCGGTTAGGGCTTAACGGCCTCTCCCCGTCTGTACGTCCTGACCCTCCTGTTCGTAGCCTGCTCGTTTCGGCAATGGCGCCTTCTTTGAACGGCTTATCCTGCGCGCCGCCTCGTGCGGCTGTCTTCCCCGCTTCGTCGCGCGGAAAACACGCAGAGTTGCGCCGCTTTGCGCTTGCGCCTAGCACCGCGCCGTGGACCGGTTTCTCCGCGGATCCCGCCGTCGTCTGCGGGCCCTCGACTGCGTCGCCTGTGGACGACGAGCGGCCGACCGGGGTGTTCAGTCCGGTGGAGGCCGGCTTGTTGTGCTCGGCAACGGTATGCGCGTCATTGGACGACAACGAGGGGCGGAAGAGACGGCGGGCAGTGGAGGACGGGCGGAGATCGGTGGTGGAGGAGGAGAGAGGGGCGGGCGGTTTGGCCGAGGCATGCGGGGCGGCAGGGGGTAAGGCGCTGCTACTCTGGCTGTTGCTGCGGGATCGATGCGCGCGGAGCGAGGGACTGCGGTGCGGCCGAATCTGTGAAGGAGAATTTCCCATGGATAGTGGTGATTCTGCAGCTTGCTTCCGCTCACTCAATTACAGGCAACTTGCCAGCTGACGTGGAATCAAATGCTGCTAATTCACCCACATATATGGCGGATTGGGAGCTAAAAAGCACAGAAGTTCACCCGGCACACAGAATCGCTTCATTACCAAGGGCGTCCTGCTCTAGCAGATCGTACGCGGACGACGAGACAGCGTACACTGAACGTCAGAAGTAGCGCAAGGAGCTACAGCACTGCGGTGTTCGAAAGTAAGAGTTGCCTAAACGACGGCGATCTTTTTTCTGTATTACCTGAACGTGCTTCGACCAAATTGCCCCTAGCCAGCAATGCTCGCGTGTCTGCAATTGCACGACCTTCTGGCCAGTCGGGCTAAAGGCATCATGCTGCGAGATATCGAGTCTCGATCAACTCTCAACTGAACTCGAAACGGCATGTCATGATTTGCATGCCTCGCGTGGGAGGTGGGATGGGAAGGAAGGAATGTGAAACGACATAGGAAGTCATGTGAGGGAATTACATATGAGGCGGCCGTTGTGTCGGTGAGGGGAAAGGAGAAATGAGCAGGGGGGGCGTGAGTGAGGGAGAAAGGACGTGGGGAGGAGGGGAAGAGTGGGGAGAAACTACACTGGCAGACTGGTACCGTACGGTCAAAACGATCCAGTGCGTTTATTATCGATCAATACACCAACCAACCGTTCTAGGTTGCTATTGAAAAGCTGTTGAGCGCCCTCAACCACCAACCAGTACGACCCAGAAAGACCCAGCGTGGCACCCAGTCCGGTTGGCTTCTCCAGGCCCCATCGGTCAAATTGTCAGGGCAACCGAGCCGCGGAAAGTTACATTTTCGATTTCCCCGTCAACGACGGCGTGGCTGGGGGAGAAGGCGTGCGGGGCGATGTGATCGTTGGGAGGGAATGTTATCAATTCGAGCCGACGCGCTGACGGGCATTCACAGAACGTTCCTGGATTTCTTTGAATGGCTCAGATTTTCCTACCACACAAACCCTTGTCACACGAGTGGCGGGCGGTGCGGAGGCAAGCATACGGGTTGCAGATTCCTTCACACAAAGCTAACGTACGTCGTTCTACAGTATATGCTGCATAAAAAGAATGTTTTAGTCGAGGCAAAAGAACAGAGAATGTGCAACCAGAAGTGTACCTACCTCTGCTTCTGGCATAAAAACACATGCCATCCAAACAACACCATGAGTAGTGCAAAGCAAGACGAGAGCATGGACGATGGGGAGGGGGGAGACGCACTCATACAAGAAATCTAATTAATCCAGTCTGCTCACATAAACACTGATCTTCAGGGTGATATTTACGCCTCATTCATCAGATGCAGTCTGCATTTTCCCACAGGAGTTGCTAGCGGTAATGCTCACTTGGTACAGCACAACACAACAGATGCACTAGGTTAGTGCACGGTTGAAATGGTGCATTAACAACCTAACCTCCAGAAACCTACTGCAACTCCAATGCATATTTTACACAGGCTTGAACACCTCGCCCTTCTCCCCACTTCATATGTCCTCTCCTGTCCCTCTCCCACGCTGTGCCACCAGTTCCGCACCCAACCCGCACTCCCTCTCCTGCAGCCCCTTCTCTCAAATCCTCCTCTCCCACCCTTCATTCCCTCCTCCAACCCCACTCCCACAAAAAAGGACCCTCAGTCTTCATTCCCCGCCCTGCTGGCCAGAGCGTCTTGGAAGGATGGCACAGCTTCCTGGAAGCATCGCAGCACAGCTGGTGCCAGGTGCAGGTGCCGGGGTTGCGACAGGCATGCGAGCAGCGAGGGGGCGTGCTGCCAAAACACCTGGGAGAATGGAACATTGGACAGTACAAGAAGAAAGGTGTTTTCTTATACGAATTGGTACAGTACCTGGAAGAAGAGCGGAGCGATGGACGGTGCAGTATGGAGGAAAAGGAGCGATGGATGGGGCGCAGACCCGTTCGACAGGAAGAAACTAAACCCGTTCGTTCCTGACTGTACCCCTCTGCAACCCTCCTCTCTCAAAATCTCCTCTCTAAGTCCTCTCACACTCCTAACCAGGGCATCACCTACCCGCAGTTCTAGAAGCACCAAGAACCAACCCTCACACGCACACCTCCACCAACCCAGCATGTACCAGAGGGGGTGTGGAAGCCAGGAACCTAGCAGCAGCAAGTGGCCCGCAGCACAGCACCATGCCTCGCAGCAACGCTGCCATGTCCTCCCGTCTCTGCGCCGCCACTCGGCCCTGCTCCTGTGCGTCCCGGGCCACCAGCCACGCCTGCAGCAGCCGCACTGCCTCCCTCCGCACCCACGCCCGCGCTCTCAGTGACGCCGGGGGGAGGGTGTGTGGGGAGTGGGAGGAGGAGAGGTGGAGTAGGTCCCATGCGAAGGCAGGGGAGAAGCGAAGCAACTGCAGGGGGAGGGTGGGGAAGGAGGAAAACAAAATGAGGCGCATGGAGGGATGTGGACGGGAGGAGGAAAGCGAGGGGTTATAGAGGTTTCAGATACAGGTAGCGTCAGGGGAACGTGTTTGGCATGACATGGAAAGGCGGGTGATGGATGCTCATGCGAGGTGGTTGGAAATGCGAGAAATTGCGACCTTGGCATTGAGGAGGTGCAGCAGTGCAGCCCAGAGTTGGTGCGAGGCGAGCAGGCGCACAAGGGAGGACTGTGCGCGCAGGAAGGCAGGCAGCGGCAGCCGGAGGTCGTCCATACTGGTTGGGGGTGCGGGTGGTGCGGTTGATGAGGGTGATAAGGGTGGTGGGGACAGTGGGGATGATGGGTGTGATGGAGATGATGGGTGTGATGGGGATGGTGGGTGTGATGGCGATGGTTGCATCAGCAGCAGCAAAACACAACCGAAAGTAACTCAACATGCTGCTGGTCACACAAAACAGGTGACTTTTGAGTCGACTGAAAAGTCACGAAAAGTGATTCAACATGCTGCGGATCACACTGAAGATGTGATGATCCAGCCAGCCCACCACACTCACCATCGGATCAGCTCCACCAGAACCCCCACAGTATAGCTACTGTCATGCCATACAGCACCACATGATGCAGCACCGCCATCCGTCTCCTTCTCGCCACAGCCACCATCCTCTCCCCGCTCTTCCTCCCTTTTCTCCCCTCCTCCACCATCCCTGCCTGCCTCTCCTTCCCCACTCGTCTCCCCTCTGCTACTCTCCCCTGTATTTGTGAGGGCATCACCAGAGGTGCTTCTGTGTCTGCTGGCCTGCTGCGAGCATGCTTCCAAATGAAGCTCTATCTGGAAAACCATGCAAGGGAGTGGGGAGGGTTGGGAGTGCTAAATTGAGGCGCTCAGCGAATCCTGCCTTGCTGCGTGCAAGCTTCTACATAAATCTCTACTCACAAGACCATGGAGGGGAGCCAGGGATTGATGGGAATGCTTTGTGTGTTCTACTGGTGGTCCATAGAGCAGGAGAGCCCACCTGGTGCAGCAGATGCTCTGGTGACACCACACCCTCATCCTCCTCCACTGCAGGATCTACCGCTTCTGCCTCACCCCCTCTCAAACCAACCGCACCACCGCCCTTTGCACCAGACCCCCCCAGTCCGTCCCCCACGGAAGCCACAGAGCTCGTTCGAGACAAAGATGCTGCCTCCCTTCCCCCCACTTCCCCTCCTGCTCCCCCTCCCGCTCCCCCTCCCGCTCCCCCACCCGCTTTCCCCTCCAGCGCCTCCCCCAGGCCCCCATCAGGACCCGATACAGCAGTGTCTGAAGCCCCGGATTCAGCAGCCACATGGAAGAACCCTCCTGTCTCTGTCCTCTCACTCGCCCCCACCTGCTGCTGCTCTGCGCTCTCCCCCTCCCCTGCCTGTTGCTTCGCTGCAACTGTGCCGCTGCTGCTGCTGTTTCTGCTTCTCCTGCTGCTGCTGGCGTCAGTACCAGCAGCAGCCGCAGGAGACGCAGCAGCGGGTGTGTCTTGCACGGGCTTGGGCTTGCGGGCGGCAGCGGCAAGAGCAGTGGCGTATGCAGAAAGAAGGGAGGAGAAGGCGGAGGAGAGAGTGGGGAGGGGCGAGCGTTGGGCGAGGAGGTCGGAGAAGAGGGAGAGGCAGATGGCGTGCACCTGCTGCCTGTTGCAGCGCCGGCGCTGCAGCAGTGGGAAGAGGGACGAGCGATCTGCTGCACACACCGCCAGAGACTGGGGGCAGATGGCGAGTGGAGGGGGGAAAACGGGAAGGCAAGGGAAGGAGGGGGAAAGGGGAGGATGGAAAGTGGAGAGGAGCAATAACCAAGGGAGGAAGGTGAGGTGGCAGATACGGTGATATTTACTGTGATCTTTCAGAAGTAATACCTGGAGGTTGAGGTGTAGGCGCCAGAGCACGCCTTTCACATGATCCAGCACCAAATCCGGATTCACCAGCACCCACCCCGACCCATACACCTTGGACCGCGACCGCGACCTACTGCTGCCACTACTGCTGCTGCTGCTGCCGCTGCGGCTGCTGCCTCCCCCGCTGCTGCTGCTGGTGCTGCTGTTGCTGCTGGTGCCGGTGCGCGGGGTGGAAGGAGCTGAGGAGCCATCGCCACTACTGCTAGCGTTCGTGCTCGTACTCATGCCCGTGGATGAGCGAGAGAGAGTGCGGGGGAGCGAGTGAGGGAGTGAGTGAGGGAGAGTGGAGGGGAGCGGTGCAAAGGCGGGGGCGAGCGCGGGGCAGATGGGTTTCCAGTGGTTGAGGAGAGGGTCGAAGAGGAGGAGGCGGTGGATGGCTGGTAGATGCACGAGGAGCAGATTATCCGCCACACTCACCGCCACGCGTGTTGATGGCAGTGGGATGGACACCTGCAGTACTATGGCATCTCGGAAGAACCGAAAGATGTGTAACAGGGAGGAGACCCGGTCCACCTGCACACAGTATATGCGCCCGTACCTGAGCACACGCAATAGGCAGGCACACGTGAGTAAATGCAATCATTTGAGATGAAAGAGATGGAGGGGGAGAGCGCGCGAGGGTATGAGAAGAGGCGGGAAGTAGGTGTACTGTAAGGCTGGGATTAGAGGTTGCAGCGCGCTACAGAGTAGGGGCTGCTACTAGAAGCCCGACTGAACGGAGCACACTCACATGTTGGCAATGCGCACATCCTGTTGGGCGAGCACCACTGGGAGGAGCGCCTTAGGGGTGTGAGAGGCCACATGGGCGCCCTGTGCGCTGCAGGGCGCATACGCTGCAGCAAGCAGCAGGGACTACTTTCAAACGCCAGACTCAAAGCAACACACTCACATGTTGGCAATGCGCACGTCCTGTGGCGCGAGCACCACTGGCGGGGCCGGCTTGGCAGTGAGGGAGTGCGTGGATGTGGTGGTGGGCGCAGCAGACGTGCCCAGCTGCGCTGTGAACTTAGGTAACTTCACCAACCCTGCTGCTGAGAACTGCACGTTGCAGGGTGGGAGAGAAAGAGAGAGCACCAAAGAAAAAAACTCACTGTTGAGGGCGCAGAAACACCGGCAGGCCTGCACACACACAGGCGCGTGCATGCATGATCCTTACATGTAGTCTGTCTACTACCTCCCTGCAACCCTCTGAAACCCTCAGACAGCCCCGTTCCCGAGTGCTGAGCGCACCTGAATGGCAGTGAGCGAGCAGAATTTGGGGCCAGCAGCGAGGATGAGCACGCGCGACTCATGCGTGTAGACATACCACCCGATCGCCACACGCCACGCCTCCACCACCCGCATCACCACCTGCCCTGACCCTCCCCCTCCCCCTCCTGCCCCTGCTACACCTGCCCCTGCTGCTCCGGCTCCTGCTGCTGGTGGTGATGCTGGTGCCCCTGCTCCGCCTGATGGTGCTGCTGCGGCCACTCGAAAGAGCTCCAAGCCCCTGCGAATGACGGGTTTCGACGGCGAGGGATGGCGGAGTGGAGGAGTGGATGGAAGGGAAATCAGAGAGAAGAACAGAGGGATTCTATAGGGCCAGAAAGGATAAAACACAATCAAGGAAGGATAAGACAGTGAGTGAATGGCTTAAGGGATAAGCAAAAAACCCATCATTGGGTTAACAGAACAATGATCTCACCCAGTTGTGACTATAACGAGGTCGCAGAGCGGGCAATCGGACCAGAAGAACCCCAGGATCTTGTCTGCCGCACTTTTACTCCTGTATGTGAGCGCCGGTGCTGTCACTGTAACAGGAGCGTTCAAAGCAGCCTCCGCCGCCAAACTACTTCTACTCCTACCGCTACCGCTATCACTACCACTGCCAGTACCACCAGCAGCAGCACTAGCGCTTGCACTAGCACCAGCACTTGTACCACCACCACTGGCACTGCCAGGACCCACGCAGCTGCCACTAGCGTTACTGCTGCCCCCTGTGTTTCCTGGCGCTTCTTCTCTGCTCGCGCTCCCTCCATCTCCTGCCCGCTCCCCTCCCTGCCCCGGTGCAGCTGCTTCTGCCTGACCAGACGCTACTGCACCAGAACCACCAGAGGAAACAGCAGCTGCCGCCGCAGGTGTGGAGGCTGGGGAGGAGGAAGTGGTGGAGGAGGAAGAGGGGGAGGAGGGGCGGCGGAGCAGCAATTCGAGCTCGTGGGCGGATCGTTGCACAGCAAGGATGCGGCCGTCCAGGGAGAAGCGCACGGCCAGCACAGGGCGGTCGGATATGGCAAACACCTGCGGCGCTGGCTGCTGCACGGGCTGCAGATGGCTGTGACTGAGACTGTGCGTGCGACTGTGACCAGGGGTGTGCGCGTGGGCATTGGCATGACTATGATTTACCGCCTGCTGCTGCTGCTGCTGCTGCTCCTGCTGCTGCTGAATGTACTGTTCGAGGCTCTGCTGCTCCTGCGCCGGCGTGGGCACACGCCACGCGTACACCTTCTCATGCGCCGACACCAACAGAATCCCATGCGGCTCATCATACATCACACCAGCTGCGCCCGGCACGTCAAATCGCAGCAGAGGCCGCGGACCCAGCACCACAGGGCTGGACTCTTCCTGTGCAGATACCGAGGATGCAAATAACGGGGATGCTTGTCCTGATCGTGATGGGGACGGTGAGGGTGCTGCTGACGTAGGTGTGCCTGATGATGGTGCTGGTGAAGCTGGTTGCGACCCCCATCCGCCTCGCCTCTCTCTGGGGGTTCTAGATCCCTTTCTTGGCGACATGGCAGGAGACTGCGCGGGTGACATGCCAGGGGACCTCCCGGACGTTCTCATGCCAGATGAAACGCCAGATGACACGACTGCCGTGCTAGTTGAAACCATGGAGGCAGGGTTCGGATTGTACTCTCTTCCCATTAACTAGGGAGCATCAGATAAGCAGAACGGCTGCCCTGACAACCCGATATACGTCTACTCTGCTTCCTGTCCACTTCCCACCGTTTTTCTCCTGCCGTCACTCTCCTGCCCTCCTCCCTCACCGCCTCCTCTCCTTACGCCCGCCCTCCCTTTTCTAGCACACACGCACACACTCTCTCTCTAAGTCACACACACATACACTCTCACTCTCTTCCGCACACTCACTCCTTCCCACCCCGCCACCTCTTCACAATTAACAAGGTCATCGTATCAAGAGACCTTACTCCAGCGCACCTAACACCTTCCACTTAACACTCCATACGGACTCCCGAAGAAAGCTGCGATCACGCACTGCTGCTTGCACCGTTGGTGCCAACGGTAACTGGAGACAGTGGCTGACGTGTCAGCAGCAATGAATGACTCGGCGGTCGCCGCTACTTGCGCTTGCGCAGCTGCAGGGCCGCGAGAGGGGGGCGTGAGGTGAAGGCAGAGAGGCACGGGTCGAATCAGAGTTAACGAAGGAATTAAAGTGCAAGGAATTAGCACAGAAGCGGAAGGAGAACAGGCGAACAGAAGCGAAAGGCACGGAAGGTATTGTGTGAGAGAGATCGGACAAAGAAGCGCCGAGGATAGGAGACCACTTGAAGGACCGCAGGGAAAAGGCGAGGGGAGCGGAGGGGAGGGGAAGCGAGGGAGAGGGAGGGAGGGAAGCGGAGGTGAGGTGCGGTAGGCGAGATGAGTGGAGTGGGGAAGAGGGGAGAGGAGGGGACGTACGGAGGCGTAGAAGCAGGTCTTCAGCTGCAGAAACTCCTTCTCGCACACGGCCTTGTCCACGCCTGGGACCCTCGCAGCCACGCAACGGCCGTACGCTGCTGCCTGGCACGCGTGGATACACGAGGTGCGATGCGCGATGCGATGCGCGATGCGATGCGTGATGGCGATGCGCGATGGGAGAGGGGAAGGTCATTCCGGGCAGACAGCAGGAAGTTGAGGGAAAGGTAGCGAGAGGGAGGGTATGTAGAGCGAGAATACCGCAGGGATTGGTGCGTGATAGTACAGGTTAGTGTCAGTACAACAAGTGCGCGTCGACGAGGTAGGGTGAAGTGATCGATACGGACGCGTCGACGGTAAGGACAAGGAAGATGATCTCAAATAAAACGGCGCTGGAGGGGGAGCGAAAACGACGGATCTAGTAGGCTCAGGCCGAATTGAGAGAGAGATGATACGTGAGAGAGTGATGAGAAGTGTCACCTCAGAAGAACATGCAACGAGTGCTGCATGGAACGACGTGAGGAAGCGGTTCGGATCCTTGGGTGCAGATGCGGTCATTGAGGGCAACGAGCGATACCGAAATAGTACTACCAGATCGGTCGATTCGCTAATAGGCAGCGATACGCGACAGTGGTAAGAGCTGGACACGGACTGGAGGCGGGATTTCCTGAATAGTACAAGGACTGGGCAAAGATGCTGGAAACTGAATCTGGCAAGTAAACTGGAATCGGCACAAGGACTTGTGCCCCGCTACAAGTTGTCAGTGATGCCCCTATGCTAGTAATGTTGTTGAGTTATTTACATTGTATGATGGATACTTGTAGCGTTTTGAAGTCGACGGTAAAGTAATAATCGTACTTCCCGCATTTCTCTTCCTTCTTTTTTATTGCACTAATTAACAGATGCGAGTGCCATTACTATGAAATATACATACATCAGACTTAGTTCTTCTATGCGTACTAACTCTCTTATAGGACACTTTGGTGGATAGTATTATGAAATTCTTCTTGTGAAGCTCTTTATTAAGGCTCTTTCTTTATATGTTGCATATTATATTGTGCTTTCCAACTCACATTCGCTATCGTTTTCTCCAGTACAGCACCATTATCGGGTTCAGCACCCCGAACTACCATCGCCCGACTGTTGACCATACTCATCGGAGGGAGGATGGCTCGCTGCTGACGCACTCGAAATCCCACCAGCAGCAAGGCGAACACCATCCATCACCACCAGCTCCAAACCAAGGTGGAATTCACAGTAGCTACTTCCATTATACTCACTACACCGCGACTGTCAGTTTCCAGTAAATGCATCTTCACCCTCCCACCATCCGCCCCCAATGAATCAATCCCGCAACCTTCTCATCTATTCTTTCATTTCACGAGGAGATGTTGTACTGGTGGAGTATACTCCTTATGGGGGAAACTTTAGGGTGGAGGCAATGAAAGGGTTGAAGAAAGCGGTAGCATCTACGAAAGGGAAATACTCGTATCCTTTCGATGAGCTCACATTCAACTATTTAACTTTCAATGGGATCAGTATGTTATCATCCTGTCTTCGGGTTCGCTTCCGAATGCAAATGCCCTTACTGTTTTTTTCTCTCTGCAGCCTATATGGTCATGGCTGACTGCATGTACGGCCGCAGACTACCTTTCGTTTATCTTGAGAAGTTGAAAGACCTCTTTGTGGACAAATACGGGGGTCGTAGCCTGGATTCACTTCAAGCCAACGCGCTCAATCAGGAATTCGGGTATGCTTGCTTAAGCGTTAAGGCATTTCACGTTGGTTCTCACCTACCACTTGATCCAGGCCGTTGATGAAAGAGCTCATGGAGTTCAGCATGCATAATAGCGAAGAAATGAAGCAGTTGGCCAAGCTCAAAGCCCAAGTACTGGAAGTTCAGAGTGCCTTGGCCAACAACATCGAGCAGGTAAGGAGGAACCCTAAATATCAGTCTAAGGATGCTCCGCTTCACATCTGACAATAAGCGTGTGCTTTCAGGTGGAAGCTGCATCAGCCAAGGTGAGACTCGTGTGAATATGTTGAAGAGAATTATTCCATGCGTTACAGCATGGTATGGACCAGTAAGTGTTCGCCATCTTGCAGGTAGAAGAAGATCGTTTTCCTCAAAAGCCAGGCAGATCAAGGTGTTCAGCATTCTGCAGGGTCATATTGTGCGTGCTCCTCTTGGCATTGTTAGCAGGCTCGCTCGCTGCGTGGTTCCAGATCTGTAATTTGGGGGGTTGTACCTTCACCCGTAGTGGATCAGTTTGATGCTGCGTGGTTCCACAAGCTGCGTGGTACCTTAATCCATCTTTGACCAGTTAGACGGCACCATTTCAAGGGTTATTTGGAGATAGATGCAGCGAGCAACTCCCAAAGAGGGCCTGTCTTGAATATTATTTCTTTGTGCTTTTACCAGTACCTTCCCCGTTCAGTATTCTCTGCTACCGTAAGTTGAAATTACTATTGTGCCCATTCCATTGTATTGGCGTATATTCACATGAGCATGGTGGGAGACCCTTTTGAAACTAAAACCATACTGCTCGGTCAATATGCTTACCTTTCTGTATATGATGACCTACAACGAAAGATATTACCGTAACAATACCAGTGCAGCTTAAAATGAGAACAGGTGGTGCAGAAACGATCACAGGAGCCTGAGAGTCATTCAGTCTCCCAAGCTACGAGGACAGTTGCTTTCCGCTATCAAACCATGGCACACGTTCGCCAGCCTTTAAAAAGGCTCGGTCAAGTGCTCGAGTCGCTTGACCGTCGGATGAGCCGTACAGGTCCTGCGATCGCTATTTTCCGTCCGCTACTCGAGCCGAGCTCGTCTGGTTTGAGCGTTGCATCAGAGGATCCTTGTTCAGGTGACATGTTCGACCTTCGTGCCTGTTGTAGCTGCATCCCTTCCCCGCGAGCGTCGGAATGGCCTCTTCATGCAGCCATGACTTCATCTCGTCCTTACCGTTTTCTTGATCGCCGTTCTTCATCACCCGTAGAGCGACCCACTGTAGCGACCCAACGAGACGATTCACGTGGCGACCTGAACTATTCCGTAAAGAGCCCATGTAGTGGGCATGCTGGGTTTCAAGCCGTCCATTGTTTATCAGCGGGTCTCAATGCCTCTCTTACACGTCTCTAGACCCGCGTCAAGGTTTTATATCTTATCTTTCACCGTATCCCTTCTTTCGAACCACCACCACTCCTGACAGGCACTCAGTTTTCGTCTATCCGCTCTCTCCACCACGCGTGGTCACACCATGGGGGAACCGCACTCAGATCCTTGCCAGGGGATGGCCTGACGTCAGGTGAAGCCGTCACCAGCTCCCATGGAGGTTGCTCTTCAGGGAATCAAGACGCGGAGAAGCAAGAGGAGCGGCCTTCAGGCTTGCCCGTAGCAGAGCGGTGTAAGGTCGTCTCTTTGCTCTTCTGAACCTTCCGGAAACTGCAGCAGACTCTTCTAAACTACTTGCCCACCCTTGCGTCCATTTCAATGGAGGAAGCAGCTTGTGAATTTACGTTATCATTCAATGTTTCAAATGCAAATCTCGCACCACCTATTATGCAGATTTCGCACCAACTCACCCCATGTGTGTGGAATTCCTCCTCTCAAACGGTCCTCTCTTTATCTCTCTCTGCTGCACCCTCGCCAGTCCCTTCTAGCAGCGAACTGGCGTGCTCAGCTGACCACAGTGCGGGCAGGAGTTGAGTCGGATTCAGAGGAGGACGATGCTTCGCCAGCTGCCTTGTGTGTGATAGAAAATTCGGAGGTGGGGGGGGGGTGGGGGGGGGGGGGGGGGGGGGGGGAGGGGGCATAATGGCAGAGAGTGGCACGTGCACGATAGTTCATCGCTTTCTGCCACAGTTTCTGTATTATCTAAGCACGGTCGGTGCTGTTGGGAGAAATTATGGCTGTGTCCTCTTGACGGCGTGTGTGTGTGTGTGTGTGTGTGTGTGTGTGTGTGTGTGCATGTGCGCACCTGACACGTGCAACTGCATCAGGGCACGGGAGAAGCTGCACGGGTCACTAGTGCGCTACATCATGGTGGATGGCTCCCCCATCGTTGCTCTCCTCCCAGATGACCCTCATCATGTGGTAGGTTTCACGTTAAGTACACCAGATTAAATATACACTGTGGTGCATCCCAGTTGTTGCACTCATAAACCTTGGGGTCGTGTGCCGTTTTTAGTTCCTGAAGCCTTGTTTTTTACCTTGCCACTCTTGCATCGCTCCAATGCTTCTCGCCTGCCTTTCTTTGCATCCCTTCCTCTCCTGCGTCTGCCTCTCCCTTCCCCCCAGAACCTTCTTATGGATGACAGGGCTTCACTCACGGTGGGGGGTACTGACCCCCCTGCTCTCATCCGCTCCCTCCTCACATCCGGCCAGGTGGGTGGAGGGGAATCGCACACTTGCTATCCAGTACCCCCGCTGTCCAGATTTTCATAACCCCTTTACGCCTTTTTACCCTTTGACTGTCACTCTCTCAAGCACGATTCCGATCTTGCTTAAATCCCTCCCTTCCACTCATCCCACCTTGTACCATCACCCAACCATGTGCTATCGCCCCACCAGATGCCACCTCGTGTTGCCCTGCTAGGCGAGCTCGTGGCTGTGGACTCATCCGAGGTAGGCATCCAAGCATGTATCTGAACACGTACTATCATTCTGGAGACATCCCGAGCCTCTCTCTCTTAGGCAAGCTCATGTCTACGGATTCATCCACAACATATACTATCACACCTCTCCCATGCACTCCTGCATGCTTCCTCCTGCATTCCTCCTGTCTTTTTCTCACCCCATTTGTTGCGATTTCCTTCCACCATATCACCATATTTCCCTCCACCAAATTTCCACCTTCTCCAAGCTCAGGCTTTCCGCATTCACATATCCCTCTCTCTCTTCCTCCCCTCGTGCTGTGGCAGACACCTTTCATCCTCCGTCGCTTCACAGCAAAGGCAGAGGCCGCTGCAGCGGCTGCTGCTAGACTGGAGGCCGCTTTGCCCTCCCCTCCCTCCTCCCCTCTCCCTTGCCCCCCACCCCTCTCGCAAACTGTGGCGGAAGGTGGGGGTGGTGGGGAAAGAGAGGAAGGCGCTTTGACCTTTTTCCGCATGGAAGCTAGGTGGGGATGGGTTGTGATGAGATTGGATGGTTTTTCTAACATGATGTGATGTGGTTCGTCGGTTCGATCTGATCCGCAGTCTCTGATGCCAACTGCTGTGCTGTTATTAATTGTGGAGGTATGATGTGATGGCATGATTACGCATATGCCTTATGTGCTTCCTTTCTTCAATGCCTCGTATTCAATCATTCATGCCATGGCTGCTTTCCGGCCTTGTAACCTCTCACCATGTGGTCACGTCACGTCCTCATCGCATCATGCCATCCCATCCCATGTTCTTCCTTCGTGCTGCCATGCATGGCATCAGGTCATGTCAGCTGGTTGATTTCAGAGGCAAGCGAACGTCACTGCCTGTAGCAGATGTCAAACCAGCCGCCACAGACCCCCTTGGTGCGTGCTCCCGCACCCACCCCCAACAAGCTCACTAGTACATCACACACCAATACACCAGTACACTCATACACCAATCACACATCTGTCTGTCCCCAAGGCCTGCTTGTGACCCTCACAATTTGCATTTCTTTTTCATTCTGTCATCTCCCAGCGGCTCCAAACATTTCCTTTCCTTTTGACCCACCAGTCCTCTTATATTATTTTGAAATGTAACATTCAGCTGGTTTCACACCATGCACGTCACCATTCATGCCATACCTCCCAACAACTCACTCCTACAAATACATCAATCCTCCTGTCTTGCCACCCGGCCTCCCCTTCTCTCTTATTGCCCCTCCACCTGTGCTACTCCAGCTACATCTCTCGTCCCTCTGCTCCTCGCGCTCAACTCCTCTGCCGCTTCGCGAGCTGCCTTTGCTTCCTTCTGCGAGGCTTTTCTGCAAGTGCCTGCTCGCCCACAGGTGAACGTTCATCCAAGCTCGCAATGCCATCGCCATGCTCTAGTGATCTTGCCATGCTTCAGTTACCTGTCGCTTGTCTCTCTCGCACCCCAGGCTTGCGTGTGCTCGTCCCGACTCTCCCACTTGCATAGTTCATGTTTGAATTCCACTCATACTACCCTGTTGACTTCCGTGCACAGTTCACGCCACCCGCTGCCCCCATTTCCTTACATTCTTCTCACTTATTGTCATCCCGTTCACCCTCCCCGTGATCTTCAGACAACATTTCTCTTCTCTGCTGACCGCCGTGGCTTTAACCTCCTCTCACAGTCGCTGCAGTCACCGCAACAGCAGCAGACTGTAGAATCTAGCCAATCGGAGAAGCCCCAGTGGCGAGAGTTTCGATTCGAGTTTCAAAGAGAAGTCACGGATGCAAAGGGGTTTTTACAGGTGCTTAGGGAGATGGAGGAGGAGGTGAAAGCAGAAGTGGAGAAGTAGGGAAGGTACTTGGAGGCGTGTGAAGCCATCTTGTTGATTACGAATGCATTTTTTTTTTTTTAGTGCTGGTTATGGTAGTTGAAATTCTCGGAAAGTAGCTACAGCGGAATGAGTAGGATTGATAGGGTTGGGGTACACATGCCTAACCCTAACTGCTTGTACCCCATATAGCATGACCCACAACAGGGTATAACATTTGACACACCCCCATAGCCTAAGTGGGGAATGCCAAGCAACAAGAAACGCAACCTAAGGTCACAAGACCAGTCACAAACAAAAGACAAAACAAAGCTCAGGGTGGATCACAACGTCACCACACAGTCTGAGCGCAAACAGCGGCCACAAGGCCAGTTCAAGAGTGTATATGCAGATATATACTGTACAAGCAAAGACAAGAGACAAGCACTCACTACTGCAGTCTACTCGACCCAGTCTCAACGAGGCCCAACTGCAGACAGAACCGGCGGTGGTCACAAGGCTGAAGAGCCTTGGTGAAGATGTCTGCAGTGTTGGCCTCGGAGGCCACGAAGTCCAGACGAGCCTGCCCGCGTCTCTGCAACTCTCGAAGGAGGAAGTACCTGACGTCGATGTGCTTCACTCTGCTCTCCAGTCGAGGCTCACGACACAGGAGAATCATCGCCCTGTTGTCAGCAAACAGGGTCGGTGCAGAGCTCGGCCGCTCACCAAGGTCAGTGAGCAGAAAGGTCAACCAGCGTAGCTCCTGAGCAGCAAGGGCCCCAGCGTAGATCTCGGCCTCTGCGGTAGAAGTCGCAACCGAGGAGGACCGAGTAGACCTCCACGAAACAGCTCCAGATTCCAGGCTGAAACAGTAACCCTGTGTAGACCTCTGAGTCTCAACGTCGTCGGCGTAGGAGGAGTCGCAGTGACTGGTGAGTACAACTGGCTGTGTCCCTCCAAGTACAAGCCCCATGCCTGATGTCGCGCCAAGGTACTTCGCCACCCTCTTAGCCGCCGTCCAGTGAACAGGACGGTGTCTCCCAGTCGCAACAAAGCGAGACAGGATGCTAAGAGGGAAGGCGAGGTCCGGGCGAGTGCACGTCATCAGGTACATGAGGCAGCCCACCAGCTCTGCGTAGGGACCACTGGGCTCGAACGGCTCGTCAGGAAAAGGCCCAGTGAGTCTGTGGTCTACAGCAAGAGGAGTGGGTGTAGGAGAGGAGTCCTGAAGCCCGAACCGCTGAAGGACCTGCTGCACCATGTGTGACTGAGTCAGAGTGATGGTGCGAGCGGCTCTGTCCCTGGAGATCTGCAGGCCAAGGTAGCGGCGCAGTTCTCCAAGGTCAGTGCACGTGTGTCTCTTCTGCAGTTCGGACTTCACCTCCGCCAGTGCAGCTGTGTCGGCTGTGGCAAAAACCAAGTCGTCAACGTAGACCAGAACGAAGAAAGGTGTGCGCCCACGACGAACAAACAGCGACGGGTCGGCGGAAGACGGCTCAAACCCGAGGTCGGAGAGAGTAGAGCGGAGAGTGTCGTGCCACTCACGGGGTGCCTGGCGGAGACCGTAGACCGGTCGTCTGAGGCTCCACTGGGTCCCAGGCGGGAAAGTGCCAGTGAAGCCCGGAGGACGACGCAGCCAGATCTCCTCGTGTAGGCGGCCCTGGAGGAAGGCAGTGGAGAAGTCAAGAGAGTGTAGCTCGTAGTCTCTCTGCGCTGCTACGTGCAGTAACACCCGAAGAGTGGTCATCTTCGGGGTGGGCGCGAAGGTCTGAAAGAAGTCAACTCCCTCACGCTGACTGAACCCTCTAGCCACGTAGCGTGCCTTGAAGACTGGGGGAGATCCCGGCGGCCGCTTCACCTTGAAGATCCACATGCCGTCAACGATGTTCGCCCCTGGTGGGGGAACCTCGTCAACGTAAGTGCCTGTGGACCTGTAGGAGGCCATCTCTGCGTCCATGGCAGCTCTCCACTGAGAGGCCCAAGGCCCTGACACTGCCTCAGCGTAAGTGCGAGGAGTAGGTATGTCAGGAGCGTCGGGGTCTCCCTCAGGAGTGAGCAGCATGGCACAGAGATGAGGCGAAGCAGCTGCCAGGAACTCTAGCTCAAACTGTCTGTCCTCTAGGACGTCACAGCCAAGGGCAGACTCACCCCCGGCGGACAGAGGACGGACAGGAGGAGCGGCCACAACACGAGTGGCGTAGTCAAGGCGACGCGTAGCAGTAAAGTCAGTGACAGCGGCAGTGAGGACCGCGACGGAGGAAGGGGAGGCACGAGGGTCTGTAACAAGAGAGGCGAGAACACGAGAGAGAGTGGGGCGGTACGTGCGGTAGTAGTCAGTGACCGGAGTGGACAGGGAGGCAGTGAGGGAAGACTCAGGAGGACGAGGAAGGGCCGACGGAGGAGAACGAGGAGGACTAGGACGAAACAACACGGTACGGAGGTCAGTGACAGGGGACGAGGGACGAGCACGAGGAGGACGAGAGGCCCAAGTGTGGGCGAGAGGAGTGGGGGACGGAGGAGACAGAGAACGAGGGAAGACAGCCGGAGTGGAGTCCGGAGGAGGAAACGTAGGACCGAACACAGGAGGAGAGGAGGGGAGACCAAGGGCCCGAAGGCCAGAAACAGGGGGCGGAGGCTGCTGCGGCTGCTGCTGCTGCTACTGCGGCTGCTGCTGCTGCTGCTGCTGCTGCTGCTGCTGCTGCTGCTCCCGCTGCAACTCCAACCTCTCACTCTCCACCCGCTGCTGAAGCTCCAACCTCTCACGCTCCAAACGCTGCTGCTCCTCGCGCTCAAGACGAAGACGGGCCTGGTGGCGAGTCGGGTAAGGGTGAGGAGGAGGAGTAGCGTGAGGAGACGACGAAGAAGAACCTGCTCCGCCGTCGACAGCACCCGGCTGAGCACCCCCAGAGCGAGTACCCCCCGCGGCAGCACGACCTGCACCTGCAGGAGGTGTACCCGCACCCCCAGGCGTGGTGCCCCCAGTAGCACCAGCACCAGCCCCAGACTCTCCAGCTCCAGAAACACCACCAGCTCCAGCACCACCACCAGCTCCAGTACCCTCGGAACGGGCAGCTGCGGCAGGTGCACGCTCAGCGCCAGTGCCAGCACCCCCAGAACTGGCCGCTCCTGTAGGTGCACGAACAGCTCCAACGCCAGCACCCCCAGAGCGAGCACCGCCAGAGCCCTCACCGCTAGCACCGACACCCTCAGTGTCCGCAGTGGCCGGTGAAGGAAGCGCCGACGGCTGCTGCGACCTGTGGGGAAGGAGGAGAGACCTGGGGGGGTACCGAGGGAGGGGGAGTAGCGTGAGACACACCAGACGGAGCGGGAACAGGGGGGGGTACCGGAGGAGCAGGGGCGGGAGGAGGAGGAGCTGGAGCCAGGAAGAGGGGAGGGGGGGGAACCGGGAGACCTCGAGAGGGGTACCTGACGTAGTAGGGGACGGACTCGTCGAAACGGACGTCACGAGAGTCAAAGAACCGGTGGGAGGGTGGGTGGTAAAAGGTGAAGTCAGAGGAGCCCTCTGGGAAACCAAGGAAGACACAGGGGACTGCACGAGGCGAGATCTTGTCCGCAGAGGTGTCGCGGACAAGAGCCAAGCAGCCCCAGACACTAAACCTCGACGCAACACCAGGGGACCCTGTCCAAAGACTGGTCGGTGAAGCCCCTGGCCGAGAGACGCGAGGCCAGAGGTTCAGCTGGTGAGCGGCGTACCGAGCCGCGTAGGGCCACAGAAAATGGGGCGCGCGGGCGTGGATCATGGAGGTGCGGGCGATCTCCATGACCAGGCCTAAGCGGCGCTCAGCAACCCCATTCTGCTGTGGAGAGTCTAGAAGAGTCTAGGACTGGGTGAAACCCTGCTCAGCACAGAATCCAGCGAGAATGCCGGAGCAAAACTCACCCCCACGGTCGGAGTGGAGACAACTGACACGACGACCACGAGTGCCCTCGGTGGCGAGCAGCCACCGGATCAGCGTAGAAGTCACGTCGGACTTCTTCGCCAAAGGGAACACGGTGGTGTACCGAGAGAAATCGTCAACGACCACCAGAAAGAAACTCTCCCGCTCAGGGCCAAGGCGGGAGGCGGGGCCCCAGACGTCTAAGTGGAGTGTCTGGAAGGGCTCGGTGGCCGGACGAAGGGAGGAGGAGTGAGGGGTGGCGCGAAGCCGACCCTGGACACAAGGACCGCACGGAGGAGCTGGGGACGGCGGGAGTGGCGGGAGGACTCGGGGGAGGCCTAAGACAAGACGCTGACTGGACATGGCGCGCAGACGAGGAAGGGACGGGTGCCCCATCCGGTGGTGCCACAGAACGGTGGGGTGGGCAAGCGAGCGACACAAGCACGACGCAGCAACTACACCTGACACAGCAACCTGACTGGACCCGGCTACCTGGTGGGACGGGGGAACCTGACGGGGGTCGGTGCGGAGGGTGTACAGACCAGAGCCCGGCTCCTGGCGGAAAGTGGCCAAGGGGGCGTACGTGTCACCGTCGACGCAGACTGCAGTGTCACCAGAAGGCTCAACCCAGACACCGACGTGCTGTCTCGCCAAGGTGCCCACACCAACCAGGTTCCTAGAGAACGTAGGAACGTGGAGGCCGGTCAGGGAACCAGAAGGAGCAGCTGGGCACGGGAGAGTAGTGGCGTGAGTCGCAATGACCGGTCCCGAGGAGGGATCGGCCAGTGCTACAGGGACAGGCGCCGGTAGCGGAGAGAGAGTCGTGCAGTCGCGGAAGAAGCAGTGCGACGCTCCTGAGTCCAGTGTGAAGGAGAGAGACGTGTCCGCCGAGGGAGTACCTGTACTAGTAGCTAAGCAAGATCCTACACTAGCACCTACTCTAGCAACAGGCAAAGATCCTAAGCTAGGTACAGGCAAGTACACAGATCCAGGAGCACTATAGTCAACATCAGCATACATGGCATAAGACCTAGCATCATCCATAGTCATATCAAAAACAGCAATACCACGAGCAAGCAGCGTCCCCCAGCGTGGCGGCGGGGGAGCGGAGGGGCCGTGGTGCAAGCGGTAGAGGTCGTCGAGACGACTGAAGCAGCGTGCAGCAGAGTGGTCGGGGCGGCCACAGTACGTGTCCCTACGAGGACCCGTAAGGATCCAGTACTCACAGGGACCAACGTCGCGGCCGGCCGCGCGAGGTCCCCGACTGGAGGGGGCGCCACCGCGCCCAGTGCTCGGGGGACCCGCAGACCTCCACTGCTGCGGAGGGCCCCACTGCTGCGGAGGGCCCCACTGCTGAGGCTGCTGCTGCGGTAGGCGCTGCTGCTGGCCCTGTCGCTGCTGCTGCTGCTGTCCCTGCCGCTGCTGCTGTCCAGGCGGTGGCAGCTGCTGAGGAGTCGGCTGCTGCTGCTGCTGGAGCCCCTCACCACCAATGGAAACTCCACCGTCGAAAGGAGGGCCGTCAGGTCCCGAGCCACCCCCACCACCACTCCCACCACCTGCTCCACCGCCACCGCCACTACCCGCACCACCTCCAGTACCCCCGCCGCCCTTCCCGCCCTTCTTGCCGGCCTTGCCACGTTTCTGTCCGCCAGAGACAGAAACAGCCGCCGTCTCCTCGGAGGCAGAAGACGTGGGGGTGGCAAGTGAGGCAGTGAAGGTGGGAAGCTGTGGTACCGCACACCCCTCAAAAAGACGAGGAGGAGGCGCGGAAGAGGCAGAGGCAACGGTGAGGAGGTTACTCTCGATCTTCGAGAGAGCAGTCTCAAGAAGATCGATGGTAAGCTCAGTGGGGTGCTTCAGAAGAAGCGCATCGCGGGCTGTGGCTAGGCGGTCAGGGAGGCGAGTGACTAGCCAGTGAATAGTGAGCCACATAGGGGGCGGGGCAAGGGCAAGCTGGTCCTCAGTGCAAGCAGCGCGAAAGCGAGCGTCAAGGGAGCGCAGGTGAGTAGCGAGGTCAGAGACAGTCTCAAAGGAGGCGAGGTCAGGGTAGATAAAGGGTACGAGGAGGCGACTGAGCGACGCAGAGGAGGGAGTAGAGTAGCGAGCAACAATAGCCTTATACAGATCTGCAGCAGACTCGACCTGAGCGAAGTGGACTGCCTCTGTCGGCGGGAGAAGGTCGGTCAGGGCGAGGCAGGCAGCGGCGTCACGAGACTCCCACACGTCGCGAGCGAGGAGCTGGCGCTGGTACTCGGCCTCCTGCTCAGGAGTAGGCGGTGGGGTAGTGGGCAGCGGGCTAGGCTGCTGGGGAGCGGTCTGAGTACCGGATGCGTGGGCGAACAAGTGCACGCCATCCTGCCGCTGGCTCTTAAGGTGGCGCTGCGCCTGCGTAAGCCACGTGCTAAAATCTATAGGTCGCCCTTCAGGGTCGAAACGAAGTACTCGGGAGGTCGCCATAGAGGGCGAGACTGAGAGAGCGCGGCTGCCAGCCGCGGGAGGGGAGAGACAATCAGTAACGTGTGGGCAGGCGGGGAGGCATGTAGGTGGGTAGGTGAGCGGCGCAGTGCGCTGTCTGGTGGGCAGCGCGGTACGCTGGCTGGTGGGCGGCGCAGTGCGCTGGGTGGTGGGCGGCGCGGCGCGCTATGGGGCGTGCGGCACGGCGTACTGAGTGGCGGGCGGGCTGCGCAGCCGGTCGACGGGCGGGCGACGCGGCGCGCGGGCCTACGGGCGGCGCGGCGGGTCGACGAGCGGGATGCGCAGCTGGTCGACGGCGGGCGACGCGGCGCGCGGGCCTACGGGCGGCGCTGCGGGGCGACGAGCGGGCTGCGCGGCCAGGCGACGGGCGGGCCGACGGGCAGGCTAGACGACGGACGGGCCTGCGGGCGTTCTAGGCGACGGGCAGGCCTACGGGCGGGCTGCGCGGCGAGGCAACGGGCAGGCCTACGGGCGGGCTAGGCGACGGGCGGGCCTGCAGGCGTTCTAGGCGACGGGCAGGCCTACGGGCGGGCTGCGCGAGCCTACGGGCGGGTGGCGCGGTGGCTAGGGTTTAGGCCGCGCTGCAGGTCGACCGGCGGCGTGGCGCGTTAGGGGGCAGCTGGCTGGCTGGCTGGCGGCTTAGGGCTTAGCGCACTAGCGCGCTGGCGTGTGTGGCGAGCTAGGGAAGGAACGAAACCCTAAACATGGGGCCTAGGAGCGAGGAACCTAGCTGATACCATCTCAGAAAGTAGCTACAGCGGAATGAGTAGGATTGATAGGGTTGGGGTACACATGCCTAACCCTAACTGCTTGTACCCCATATAGCATGACCCACAACAGGGTATAACATTTGACCGAAGTGAATACCGTAGGATGAATACCGTAGAACAAAGAACTAAGGCAGAATGAGGAGTGATGTCAGAACACAGTAAGCCTTTTTCTAAGCCACCAGAACCAGTGAGAATTTTTATAGGTCTGTTGGATGTCAATGATAGCAGGAGGTTGGAAGTAGTGGAGCCCTTGGAACAATAGTTAGCAGTTGTGATCCAAACTATTCTGGAGACCTGATACAGTACATGTAAGCATAATCGGTAGCTTTCCGGCAGTGTATTTGTTTTGTTTGCCAGTGCGTTGGCCCCTCCTCTCAATCCCTGACGAGCCGCTGACCTGATTTCTTGTTTGAGAAAAAATGCGGTGCGGTTCTGTGCGTGTCAGCCGAATCCTGTCTTTTTGCGCAGGGTCGAAACCTGCCATATCAACAAGCTCCATCTTTTAGAGAACTCTCAAAGGCCTCGGCTTGTCCGTCCGATCTCTGCGAGAAGTTCGAGCTCAAGTGAGAACTGTTTTCGAAAACCAATCAAACTCGTCCAAAAGCGCACGAGCAGCTTCTGCGAGACTTCTGCTAATTCCCTTGACGTTTGTCCGTGCCGCCACTCTCGAGGCGCGGCTGTGCCCCACACGTTTCAGCCATCCATCAACATCAATTTCGTCTCACCAGCAAGCTGAACATAAGGTCCGCTGGCAGGGACGAGGAGTGGGTGTAAGAAATCCTGATGCGCAGTCCTGAGAGAGTCTGCTGAAGGGCTTCAACTAGGGTAGGGTGGGGATGGGGTTTCTTTGGTTGCTGGCTTCACCTGTGTCAGGCACACACTAGCGGCTCTGCTACTACAGCTCTCAGACGAGAAAAACCAACGCAGCCTTCCACAAAACACGACAACGGGCCCATCAGCTGCACTCTGCTAGCAAAACAGGTTCAAAGTTTCAAGTTCCCTCGCACAGACTCTCACAGAGTGACGCAGTCCGACATTTGCCCATCAATGCTCTTAGTCTCTCCCAAGCAATTATGAGAGGGCGAGTGAGATGATGCGCAGCAGAAGGTTCATCTGACGGCGCCCATCCACGCTCTCCTCTCCATCTAGCATCACTGCGTTCACAGCGTTCCTCAACCGCGGTAGTATCGGGGGACTGACGCGTTAGACTCGTCGATTACAGCGTAACGCAGCTCGCGTATGCCTGATCGAACGCCCATCTAGAGGCCAGTCTCGCGTGAGCGCATCACCCTCGATCTAGCAAGCAGGTCACGAGCGAGTAGCGGTGAGGACGTATAGGCGCGGTAGCCGTATGATAGCCACGAATAATGCGAGTTCCCGTAGTTCCCTGTGCTGCTCTACCTTTCGCGCCCACTGTTTCGAAGGCAGTCTAGTTGTTCAACGACCGTAAGAGAGATTCGATGAGCTCGGAGGCGAGTCGGATGCGAAGATAGCACGCACTTCCGAGATATTTTTGCCGTTCCATCAGCACTCCACTATCAACCCCCAGACACGCCCAGACACGTCTAGCTCTACGACCGACTTGAGCGACGAACGAGTAACGCTAGTCCCCAAGTCGCGCACGGCTTTGATCCCTCTCGCGCGTGCGGCTGCAACAGCGCGCGGTTCCATGCGCGTGAGAGCCTGACGAGCCCGTAAAGATGGCCCCGACACTGCCTCGCACGCTTACTATCGCACGTGTAAGACACCCAACAACGCGCTCCTCGAAACGCCCTTCCAGATCCTCCCTCCGCTGCTCGTCGCTGCTCCTCCTCGCCGCTTTCGCGCTTTCCCTCTGCCCGCCGTTCGTCTCTGCCGCCACGTTTCAGGGCGACACGGATGCGCTACACGAGTTTAAAGCCGCCGTCGCCAACCCGTCTGCGCTGAGCTGGCCCGATTCGGGCGGCGACCCATGCATCGACGGCTGGAGCCACGTCACGTGCACGCGCGATGCGATCACGCAAGAGCACCGCATCTCGTCGCTCCTGATCGACGGGCTTAACCTCGGGGGAAGCGGCTCCCCGTTCCCCACGCAGCTCGCGCGACTAGAGTACTTGCACGCGCTGTTCATCGGGAACAACGGATTTGCGGGGGAGATTCCGCGGGAACTGGGGGAGCTTGCGCGTATGGAGCAGCTAGGTTTGGACCACAACGGATTCACCAGCGCGCCGCAAGACCTGTTCACGAATATGACGGCGCTCGAGGCGCTGTATCTTCAAAGTAACCCTCTTGGGGGGCAACCTCCGCCAGATCTCTCCGCAAACACGAATCTTAAGATCTTGCTCCTCACCAACTGCTCCTTCACGGGTGAACTACCCTCTTATCTGGCGTCGCTCGTCGCGCTCACGAACGTGTCCCTCGGGCTGAACGCGTTCGACGGCGGGATTCCCGAAGGGATGTTCGGAGCGCACATGCCGTCACTACTCTCGCTCCGACTGAACAACAACAGGCTGACCGGCCCCATTCCCGCGTCGCTCGCCTCCGCGCCGCTCCTCTCCGAACTCTGGTTACACGGTAACGACCTCTCGGGGCCGATTCCCGACGCGCTAGGCGGCCCGTTGTCTCTGCTGCAGTCCGTGAAAGTATACGAAAACGGCCTTGTCGGTATGTTGCCCGAGTCGCTCGGCGAGGCGCGCCAGCTATCAGAACTGCAGGTGCAGCGGAACAAACTAGTCGGCCCGATTCCTGCGTTTATGAAGCGGTTCGGGGAGGGGAGCTGGGGGGAGAACGGGTGGTGCGCGCCGAGCCCTGGCGACGCGTGTTCCGACGAAGCTATGGCGCTGCTGGAGTTTTTAAGAGGCGTCGAATATGCTCCTGCGCTTAGCGACTCGTGGGTTGCTAACGACCCATGCGCCTCGGGTTCGGCGGGGAACTCGTCGGGTGGCCAGTCGTCTTCTGCCACGTGGCTTGGCGTTGGGTGTTCCGCGGACGGCCAAGTTACCAGCCTCACCATTCCCTCGCAGAATCTGAACGGAACCATTTCCGCGTCGCTCGCGCGGCTGCCCGCGCTTGAAATGCTTCAGCTGCCCGACAACAATCTCGAGGGCTCGCTGCCCGCGGAGCTCGCGAAGCTGCCCGTGCTGCGAGCCGTCAACGTGGCGAACAACCAGCTCACCGGACCGCTGCCGGATTTTCCGCCGCAAGTGACGGTGGTGACGACGGGGAACAAGCTGGAAGGCGGAGGTTCCGCGGGGGGTGACGCTTCCGCCGCCCCGGGCCCCCCATCGTCCCCCCCACCAGTGACAAACAGCAGCGGAGAGAGCGGTGGCGGCGCCAGTAGCGGCAGTAGCGGCGGTGGCAACAGCAGCAGTAGCGGAAGCAATGCGGGGAGTGGCGGGGAGGGAAGCAACGGACAGGCAAACGGTCCGCCGGCGTCGCCACCGCCTGCTGCGCCGGAGGGTTCGGGGAAGAACGGCGGGAATAGCAGCAGCAGCGGCGGCGGCGGCGGGGGAAGCAGCGGGTCTAAGAACGAGTCCAGCAGCGGTACACCGCCCATGAGCGATATCCAGAACTCCCCCGAAGGCCCTCCCGCGGACTCTCTCGGAAACTCCTCCCCCTCCACCTCTCCGCCTACGCTGCCGTCCGCTCCCCCCGCTTCTCCTTCCGACGCGTCTTCCCCTCCTCCTCCATCCGCTTCCCCCAATCGCGCCTCCCGCCCGCCCGCGGTGGATATCGAAGCGCCCGCTTCCGCCCTTCCCCCGCCCGTTGCGCCTCCTGCGTCTATCCGCGGGAATCCGGGGGGGAACGCGCGTGGCACTCCATCACCCGGGGACTCGAATCATTCTGCTGCTAGCAACGGCGGCCGCGGCGGCAGCGGCGGCAGCGGCGCTGGGACAAAGTCGAGACCAGCATCGTCTCCCCATACTGTCCCGGCCTCCAGCTCACTCTCTTCCCCACTCTCCGCCCCCCCAAGCTCTCCCGGCGCCCCCTCCCCCACCTCCGCCACCCCTTCTCTCCCCTCCCCCACCTCCGCCACCCCTTCTCTCCCCTCCCCCACCTCCGACACCTCCCGCACCGCCTCCTCCTCTCCTGGCGCGTCCTTGTCCTCCCCCCCAACCTCCCCGCCTCCCCCCGATGCTTCCGCGTCGGGGCTGAGCACTCCGCTGATTGCGGTGATTTCGGTGGCGGCGCTGCTGCTGTTGCTGGTGGTGCTGTGCGCGGGGGTGCTGGGCATGCGGTACTGGCGGAAGAAGGGGGGAAGCGGTGGGCGCAAGGGCGCCGCCGCTGCCGCGTCGCAGATGTGAGTGCTCGTGTCGCGCATGTGAGTGCTCGTGTCGCGCATGTGCGTGCTCGTGTCGCGCATGTGCGTTCTCGTGTCGCGCATGTGCGTGCTCGTGTCGCGCATGTGCGTGCTCGTGTCGCGCATGTGCGTGCTCGTGTCGCGGATGTGAGTGCTCGTGTCGCGGATGTGAGTGCTCGTTGGTTTCTCTTGACTTCTTCTTCCCCCACCCCGACCACTCACCCCGAATGCTCCCCTTCCTCCTTCCTGGATCTCCCTCCCCCCCACGCTCCCCCCCAGCCTCCCATCCGTCGCGCCTTCCCCCCACTCCTCAGCTGCCTTCTCCGCCTCCTCCGGTCCCTATTCTTCCGCCACCGAGGGCGCAGCAGGGGGTGTGCATTCCGCCGCGTCAGCGGGAGCAGGCGACGCAGCAAGCGGCGGAGAGGGAGGAGGAGGAAACGGGTGGGGGAGCGGATCAGGGCGGAACCTAGGCGGAGGGGATGTGGTGTTGAATCTAGGCGCCTGGGCGGGTAGCAATGGCGGAAGGAGCGGGAGCGGCGGACTGAGCTCGGGGAGCGGAAGCATGGGGTCGGGCGGAAGCATGGGGGCGGGGGGGAGCATTGCGGGAAGCGCGGGCGCGGGCATGAGCGGCATGGTGATGCGCATGGACGTGATCCGCGCGGCGACGGGGGGGTTTGCGGCGGAGAACATCATAGGCAAGGGGGGCTTCGGTACCGTGTATAAGGTGAGGGGGGGAGGGGAGGGGAGGGGAGGGGAGGGGAGGGAGGAGAGGGGAGGAACCGGGGGTGATCCTGGGGTCGTGGGGGCGTGGCATTATAGAGTTACGGGTGATTGTGAGGCGGGCGTGTATGTGCTTCTGCGCCGGAGCCTTAATGCATACTACGGCCTGAGATGCTCCAAGGCGATGTAGTTTTCGTCGGCCAGGCTTTTGTGGGATTCAAGTTCTCTTGCGGTGCATAGCTGACCCGTGTATGTGCAATGCTGTGTGTGCCACTGTGCGTGTGCGTGTTGCGGTGCGCGTGTGTGCGCGCAGGGCGAGTTGGCGGACGGCACGGGGGTGGCGGTGAAGCGCATGGAGGTGGCGCAGCTGGCCAAGAAGGGCGACTCGGAGTTCCAGGTACGGCGCGCCGGGGCGTGCAGTGGGTGGGCAAGAAACGGGCATGACGGCAACGCACGGAGAGAAAGCATCAATGAAAGGACCCACGTAGCAATGGAGCAACAGAGGAAGAAGGGCAATAAATCCATGATGCAAAAGAGGAATGTCCATGATGGGACGGGTCGAGTTGAGGCGCGCTGCATGCGCCATTGCCGTCCGCAGAGAGGCACGAGCTGTGGAAGGGCCGCTGAGTCTGACCCCCATAGCTCCCCGCATTCGTCATTGCGCTCCTCTCCCACCCCTCCCCCGTCTTCATCCCGCCCATCTCCCCCCTCTCCCGCTCCTTTCCCCCTCCCCCAGGCGGAAATCCAGGTGCTCTCGTCCGTGCGCCATCGGCACCTGCTGGGCCTACTAGGCTGCGCCGTGGAGGGCAACGAGCGCGAGCTGGTGTACCAGCTCATGGCGCGCGGCCTCTCTCTTCCGCCTTCCACCCGGCCCCCCTCCCTTTCCCCCTCCCCCAGGCGGAGATCGAGGTACTATCGTCGGTGCGCCATCGTCACCTGTTAGGTCTACTGGGTTACGCCGTGGAGGGCAACGAGCGCGTGCTGGTGTACCAGCTCATGGCGCGCGGCCCGCTCAGCCGCCACCTCTTCGACCACCGCCGCCTCGCGCTGCCGCCGCTGACGTGGCGCGCGCGCGTGTCCGTTGCGCTCGACGTGGCGCGCGGCGTGGAGTATCTCCACTCGCTGGCGCACACGTCGTTTATACATAGAGATCTTAAAGCGAGTAACATTCTGCTGGACGAGGGCATGCGCGCGCGCGTGGCGGATTTCGGGCTGGTGAAGCACAGCAAGGGGGACGGCATGCAGAGCATCGAGACGCGCATCGCGGGCACGTTTGGGTACCTCGCGCCGGAATATGCGGGTGAGAAGGCGGGGAGGAAGGGAGGGCGGGGAGGAGAGGAGGGGTAGCGGGTGGGAAGGTGGGGAAGAGGGGGAGCCGGACTGTTGTTGAGAGTGAGGGTTACCGAACAATCTGATGTGTATGTACAGCTACGGCGTGGCGCTTATGGGAGGAGGCGTTCTGGATATAGCATCAGATTTGCTGCTTGCACCCTCTGTCCTGCGCGGTCGGACGTGTAGAGCTACAGAGTGTTGGTGAAGGAGCTGATCACGACGCACAGGGTCACGTCTGACGCCCCCTGTTCCCTCCTTGTGCCCTGCTGCAGTGACCGGGAGAGTCACCACGCGATCCGATGTGAAAGGTGTGGTGCTAATGGAGCTGATCACGGGGTGACAAGGTTACCCTAACACACACACACACATCGTTCATCCTCCCTTGCCCTTGCCTTCCCTTGCACCTTGAAGTGACCGGGCGGGTTACCACGCGGTCAGACGTGTACAGCTACGGCGTGGTGCTGATGGAGCTGATCACGGGGCGGCGTGCACTGGATGACTCCAAGGCGGACGAGGCCGCGCACCTCGCCACGTGGCTCGCCCCCCTCGTGCCGCTCCGCGACCAGCTCGCTAAGGTGCGGGGGAAGCGATGGGAAGAGAAGAAGGGGAAAGAAGAGGGGAGTTGTAGGGGGGAGAAGGGGTGGTGGGGTTTGTGTGGTGACTTTTGAGTTTCCTGTGTGAACAATCACCCCTCGAGTCATTCCAAGGGCACCGTGGGGTTGGGAATATGGCGGTTGGGAGAGAGGGGGGCTTTAGTGGATGAGGAGGAAACAGTGGGAAATCTAAGGAGTCATACCATGGTATACTGTGCATGGTCAATGATGTGTCCCATATGGCTCTTGGTGGCTCTTGGTATACTCTTGGTGGCTCTTTGTTGCTTGAATCAGTCAAACACAATCTTTACTTCTTTTACCTCTTCCCCCACCCTCCTCGGCCCCCCTCAGGTCGTAGACCCCGTCCTCCTGCCTGAGATGCCAGAGGAGCATGGTTCGGAGCATGGGTACGGCGGGGTGTTCCCGTCGGTGTGTGCGGTGGCGGATCTGGCAGTGGAGTGTGTGGCCAGGGACCCTCGGCGGCGACCAGCCATGGGGGGAGTCGTGGGCGTGCTGGCGCCGCTGCTGCAGCAGCTGCAGCAGCAGGAGCAGCAGGGGGAGCAGGCGCGCGGGGAGCAGGGCAAGCAGGTGAGGGAATGGGTGGGGTTGATTGTGGGTTCTCCCCTTGCATTCCCCGTTTTCTTCTCTTCTCTTCTCCCTTTCCTCTCTCACTCTCCTTGTTCCCTCTTTCCCTCGTCCCACGCCGTGACCACCCCCACCACCACTGTGGCGCAGGTGTGTGAGGAGGACGTGAGTGTAGCGGGCATCGACCTGGGAGTGAGTCTGGCCGAGGCACTGAAGCAGTGGCAGCACATGGACGCGCAAGGACCGTTTGATACCCACCACGCTCGTGCACGTGCTGATGCGCATGCCAGTGCGAGTGCGCCTCGTGAAGCTGTTGCTGGCAGCGATGGCGGTGCTGCTTGGGCGCCACAAGCAGCAGGTGACTCACCTGACGCTCCTGCTTCTGCTGCTGCTTCTCCTGAAGAGGATTCTTTCGCTGCTCCCGCTCCTGCAGCTGCTGCTGCTGCTGCTGCTGCTGCTGCTGTTACAGCTGCTGCTCGTGTTTCAGCAGCTGCTGCTACTGGCACTACAGTCTCTGCCACCACCCAGCTCAACAGCCCTCACTCGCACTCGCACTCGCTCTCTCACTCGCACCCGCACCACCTATCGCTGGTCATCGATCCGTCTCCTTCCTCATCGGGCGCTTACAGCTTCGGTTCTGCCCGGTACGCCGCGGCAATACCGGCAGCTTTGACAGCTTTGGCTGGCACTGGCACACCAGGGGACATGACCCCACACGTCCTCACTCCCACCCTCACCACTCCCAGCACCACCACCACCAGCCGCAGCAGCAGCGGCCGGCTGGGTTCGTCTACTTCCTCGGGCGATCGCAGTATCTTCCTGTCGAGTGGTCCGCTTAGTGTAGGCTCGGATGGGTTCCCCACCCCGACCTTGCTGCTAGGCTCGGAAGGGTACCCGACCCCGTCCATGCGGTTAGGTTCGGATGGGTACCCTACGCCATCGGTTCGGGATTCGTGGAGCAGCGGGTGGGTGAGTGATAGGAGTGAGAGTGGGAGTGAGGGGAGGAGTGGGAAGAGAGGGAGTGGGGAAATGAGGGGGAGAGGGAGTTTCAGTGGGGGCCTTGATGCTGTAGGGGAGCCTGTGAGTTGGACTAAAGGAGGATCGTTCATTATAAAGAGAATCGGGGATCAGCTAGAAGATGTGCTTGTAGAGAAGGGTGCGTGTAAGAGGGGAGGAAGAGGGGGGATGGAGGAGACGAAGGGTCTGCTGCTGTGCGCTGAAGACTCTTTAAGGGGTTGGGATGGGTGTGATGCAGTGGGCTTTGGATCTGGACTGGAAGCAGAGGGGGCGAGAAAGGGAGGAGGGATGCAGACTCTACAGGTTGCTGACATTGGAGCAGGGAGGCAGAGGGGGAGAGAAGGCCGGGCAGCAGGCAGCAAGCTCATGAGTGAGGTGGTTGTTGGGGGCGGTGCGAGGAGAGGGGGAGGGGGAGAGCAGGGGGGAGGGAACATGAAAGGAGGAGTGGGAGGGGGCATGTCGCTAGAGGAGCAATATGTGCGGCAGGGGTCGTGGGAGGGGGGGTCGTCGGATGGGAGTGCGAGGAGCATTCCCACGTTCATCCAGCCACGCCTTGCACTGTCGGGCCGCTGAACTGAATCGGCGCGCAGAGAGAGAGCAGAGAACGCCTGGGCTGAGCTCCTGGGGCTTGGTGTATGGCGTGAGTGAGTGGTTGTGAGGGGTTGGACTGGGTAATGGTGAGCTGGGCATGGTCTGGTAAGGATGAGTAGCTGTGCGCCTGATATTGCATGGGATGTGGGCTAACTGGTTGCATTGCAACACAGCACTAATTGACTGGGGGGAAGCATTGACCATGGCAAGGCGTGGGGCGGTGGTCGAGGGGGGCCATTAGTAGGGGTATGTGTGTGCGTGTGCGTGTGTGTGGTGGGTGCGAGTAGGCATGGCAGCTGTGTGCAGCCATCTTAACCTTAGAAACTCTGGGTTGAGATGGGTAGCGACGAGTGGCAAGGGGTGGTGAGGTGTGGTGATGGTTGGGTTGGGATACACAGGTGTGTTCAGGAGTGCATGTGGTGCATGTGGTACATGAGTGATAGAGCAGCAAGGGCCCTTCTGACTGGTGTACGCCAATGTGTTACCTTCTTGGTGACCATAATTGTTACATTGTAACTGCTGCTGATCCTCGGGGCCCTTGCTAACGATGATTTTCCACATTCATATTACAATGCATAGCTTCTGCGTTTTGAAAGTGTACATGCCTTGCAGACAATGTGAATGCGATTTGTTTATAACCGTTTATACTGTAAGGCCCCTGATAGAAGCGCATGCCTATGATAAGCGCCGGCGCTTATAAAAGGCTTATGGCGCTTATATCCGGTCCTAGATTATAAGCCCACCCCTAATGGCTTACGGATTATAAGCGCCACCGTCTGTAATAAATTTTATATTTGAAGTGGAAACGCTGTAACGAAACATAGTTTTGGAGCCCCACATTCAGAATTTCGAATCCCTTCACCCTCGCGCGACTCAATGCCTTCGCGTCCAGTCAGAATGAGCTGTCATGGGGTCAATCTGACTCAGGTATGACTGTGTGTGTTGGCAGGGAATCAGCCATTGCCATTTCACGCGAAATCCACATTCAATGCCCCCTACAATTTCGATTCGATTCAGATCGCAAGGACGAGATGAACACTTTGGTGTAAAAAAACAAGCTTTCATATATGTCATTATATAAGCCCCGGCGCTTATAAAAATCCTCAATTATAAGCCCACCCCCTAAAAAACAGTGATTTTTTATACCCCCAAAGGCGCTTCTATCCGGGGTATGACGGTACCAAATGTCGTGTCCATGTGGCTGAGCCCAACTCGCCTGAAGTTAATGCACTGTGCCTTTGGCTAACACAGAAGGGGTGTTTCTTATAGTGAAGGGATTGTGCAATAGGGAGGTCGACAACGGAATGTATGATATAATAATAAGTTTCAGACTACATTACAGGAATTTAAGGGTTAAACCCAAATAAGAAACAGCATCAATTGACAAAAAATGCATTAGGACAAAGCGACAATTACGCAGAAGGTGGTACGCGGTATGGATAGGTACGGGTTAAGTGGTAGGAGGTATGGGGTATGTGGTATGCTATCACCGCCATCTGCACTCATCATTCCAGCAGCCCATGCCAGGTGCATCATGTGCACGTGGGCTCCCCTACCCATGTCACGTGCAATGGGTCGACCTACCCATGTCACGTGCATGTGGGCTATCCTACCCATGTCATGTGCACCATCACAGGATAGTCATGCATGCGTGTGTACCCCTCCCATGGCTCCTTCTGCCTCCTCCTCCCTCCCTCACTCTTTCTTCTCCTCTCACTCCCCGTTCCCTCCACAGTACCCCTGCCTGCTCCTCCCTCTCCTTCAACCTTCCCCCTCACACCCTCACCCGCTTTCCTCTCCTCCACTTCAGCCCCTTTCTCCTCTTCTGCCTCTTTCTCCTCTTCCTGCCCCTCTCCCTCGTCCTCATCCGCTTCCTCCCCTTTCTCCTCTCCCTCCTCGCCCTCCCCCCACGCCTCTCCAAACGCCTTACTGACCCCCTCGTGGTATCGCTCCTCGACACGCACGCACCACCCGCCCTGCTGCTGCACGCGCGCTAGAAAGAGCGCGAGGGAGGTGCCCCGGTGTGGGGCGAAGAGAAAGGCCTCTGGGGGATAGGGTTGAGATGTTGCTTCTGCCCCTGCTTGTCCTGCTCCAGCTCCTGCTTCTGCCCCTGCCCCTCCTTGTCCTGCTTCTGCTCCTGCTCTGTCTGTGCCTGTTGCTCCAGCTGCAGCTATGCATGTGTCTTTGAGTTCTGTTGCTTCGTCTGCTAATAATCCTGCTGCTTTATCTGCAGTCCTGCATTCAACTCCGTGGCCTGTACTACCTGTGACGCTACCTTTTGCGCTGTCTGCACTGCCTGCTGTTGCTGCTGCTGCTGCTGCTGCTGCAGGCACCGCTGATTGCTGTGAGGCGGGGGAGAGGAGGGCGGTGATGGTGTGTAGCAGATGCTCGTGATGCTCCTTGAAGAATGTGCTGCCGTGGATGGGAGAAAGAGGGAAAGGGCACAGCGGGGGTAATGCCTTAAACGACATTGCTTGAAATGTCCCGAAAAAGGTGCTAGGAGGGCAGTGACAGCGCGGCGGGTGTTGATGGTGATCTTTTAAAAAACGTTCTGCTATGGGGGAAAGTGCACACAGTCAGTGGGAGACAAGGGCAATCACGAGCGCTCACGGAAGGTTAAGGAATGCCAGGGAGAGAGTTGAGGGGGTTAGAGGGAAATGGAGCAGGGAAAGAGAGGAGGGCAGCTGGTGAGAGAGGGAGCAACGCACCAGTCAGCAGCGATGACGGCATCAAAGGGCGGAGAGAGGGCAGGTGGCCAGTGGCGCGGCGGGGGGTGGCAGTCCCAGCGCAGTGCCGCTACTGCCACTTTGGTGCCCCCGAATTGATGCCTGTTGGCTTCGACTGTTTGGCTTAAGCCTGGGGTGTGGTGGTATAGGGTGTGACAGCATCGGGTGTTACAGTATGGGGCGTGGGGTGGTGAAGGGGTTAAAGGAGGAGGGAGAGGATGGAGGACGGGAGAAAGGGATGGGGAGAAGTGGATGAGGAGTAGTGGCTCATAGGGAGGAAGAGTTTGGACATGGAAGCTTGCTTTGACAGGAAAGGACATTTTGACGAGTGATTCTGAGAGGAGATGCATCGCACGATATGACAAGAATTGAGAAATTGCAGCGTGACTTGACAGATGTTATCAGTTACCCCCCATCACACCACTCCAAGCGACCACCCAATGTCATGGCATGCGCTCACGAGCGACCACAGAGTCGTTGCCATCAGTGAGCAGCACTCCCCCCACGCCCTGCTGCTGCACCGCCAGCGCCATGCCCGCCAGCCCGTACCCCGCCCCCAGCTCCACCACCCTCCGCCCCCTGCTTGGTGCGTGGGGAACGGTGGGAAGAAGAGAGGGTGTGGGGGAGCAAACAGGGAGGGAGCGTGGGAGACGTACAAGTGGGCGGCATAAATACGTTGAACGTACACATGAAATTCGACATAACCCAATCCATCATACACTATTACCCTTCTTATAGCATGCGATACCATGTGGCAAATGTGGCATGCCTCACCCCAGCAGTACCTGAATCTGTGTGCACGTGCAATGAGGTAGCACGCCATGGCTTCTTCCGATGGCCACATGCCACCATGCCACCATGCCACCATGCCACCATGCCATCAAAGCATCATAACACCAGTATCACGCTATGTCACATTATCACAGATTGCTAGACAGAAACGAGAGGGGGAGGGGGGATGCGATGAATGCTTGGAGGGTCAACTGCAATGCAAGTGAGTAAGGCACGACAACATAAGATGACGTGTGGCGAGAGCGTGCGAGAGTGGACGGAAAGTAGTGTACACACTCGCACACAATTGTACGCAGTACAGGGCCACTTAAGTGCGTTGCGTAACAGTGAGCAGAAACGAGTGAGGGAGAGTGAGTGCGAGTGGAAGGAAGACAGCAAGGAATGGCGCAAGGGAGAGGAGACTGACCGAGGAGTCCTGTGGTGTCAATGCCTGCTCTGGTCGCAGCTGCCATCTCCGCCAGTCGCACTCGCCCTGCCACTCGGTGCCTGGCGGAGAGAGAAGAGAGAGCGGGTTGACGGGGTGGAAGGATGGGCGGATGGAGGGTGGAGCGATGGGGGGCGGAGGGATGGAGGGTGGAGGGATGGAGGGGTGGTGGGGATGAGGGTTAGAGGGGAGGAGGGGTGAGACAGGAAAAGAACCTTTAAACGATAGGAGCCCATTTCCAACGCAGCGATTTCACAGATTGAAACAGCACAGCAGCAGTTGACACGGACCATATGGTGATCTCCCTCACGAGGCAGGACGGTCGATCAGTCAGGCTGGATGAGGTTGGAGTGGTGTGTTGGGATGTGGAGGATGGGGAGGAGGAGGATGGGGAGGTGGGGGAAGGGGAGGAGGAGGAGGAAGGGGAATAGTCGTTGGTGGTGGAGGAGGAGAGGGAGGGGAAACAGGAATGCGGCGAGGAGGGGCAGCAGCGGTGGCAGGGGGTGGGTTGAATGGGGATGCTATAGATGAAGGGACGATCCCACTGCACCGACTCTCCCATGTCTAGTCCCTGTCCGTTCTCCGCCCCCGGACTCTTCCCCCCCTCGGTTTCCGCTCCTGTGGCTCGCTCCCCTCTCCCAGGCAATTTCCCCGGGACTGCTCCCCCGCCATCCGCTTCAGCCGTGGCTGTTCCCCCGCCATCCGCGCGTGACGCGGCTGCGCCTGGCCCCGCGCATGACTCCTGCGCGGGTCGGCAATCGAATAGGTGGAACCCTCTGATTGGTCGGCGCGAAACCCGCTCATCACCCGCGCAGTTTCCCGACGCTTCTCCCCTTCCGCCCGCGCTAGCATCCTCGCCTGCCTCCTGCCGCCTCTCCGCCCCCACGCCTTCCCCCATTTCCCCCCTTTCCGCGGATTCCCTCAGCAGTGCACGCGCTAGGAGCTTCCACCGGACGCGTGCCGAGCTCCCTGTCTGGAGCGTGCCACTCCTATTGTTCCCTCCCTTGCTGACGTCATCATTCTGATCTCGCATTTTGGTCGCTTTGTATGTGCGGTGCAATTGCTTTCTTGCCACGTTACCGTCCTCGCTTCTACTTATTCGCAGTCACGCACAGATCCGTTCGGTACACTAACAGAAATTGCGTCAGCCTGCTGCTGGTTCGTGATTTCATTTGTCGCGGGGAACAGCATCAAGGAACGATGACATATCGGCGCTGCAAGCTCTGCACTTGTCTTCGTGTAATACACTTCAACGTATATTGACAACTGGATTTGTTCTGACAACAAATTAAGTATTTACAAAACAAAGGGAATGATAGCCCATCTGTTTGCTGGATAGTCGTCCATCTTCTTTCTATACCATCGCCTCGTTGCAATGCTTCGTCCACACAGGTAGAAAAATGTGAAGAAAAATTCCGCCATACCTAACGTAGTCTGGACATGGCACAGAACAAGGTAATTTGGGATACAGATACATGTTTCGTTTAGACAAGCAAACCAGTGTCGTTCACACGTCAAAGCATGACTCCCTCACTGTGACAGGAGAAATTATACAATTGATGGGCAGCAAATTGTTGGAAATGGACACTGGAATGGCCCGAAGGTAAACAACACAAACAACCGGGGCATGCAAAGAGCAAGTGACTCACCTGTGACATCAAGGCAACTCCCAGAAAGTCGATGCATTCAAAGAGGTAGTGAGGGCAGGTCACCCAGTGAAAAAGGCCACCGTGAGGGACACGGTACTCATGGCTACCTGGTGGTGGCATACAGGACACACAGTTGCAGTTCCAGCATTAGACGAGGGGTTATTTCTGAATCACCTTATCAAGAATATACAGACATATGGATGCAGTTTCAGAAATTGGCATGGAAGTTGATTGGAAATCACAGCCCACCATGGAAGCATACCACCCACTCTGGAACATACACTGAAAGATATATTTTTCTTTCTTGCTGCATGCAGCAAGAGGGGAAGAGTGTTGGCAGGGAGGCGGTTAGCGACATACCATCTGAGCGCAGCCGAGTGAGCAACCAGTGGTGGTATAAGTTCCCAGCAATCCCAATAAGGAACAGTAGCAGGCCCAGGGGCATGAGGTTCACAGTGGGCGTAACACTGCAGGGAGCAACCGCACTGGCACCAGCAGCAGCTGTAGAAGCACCAGCAGTGACGGTGGCGGCAGCAGCAGCAGCAGTTGCGGCAGCAGTGGTGGCACGGGATGGGAGAGTGGCAGCAGCAGCGGTAAGCCATTGGGAGGAAAGAAGGACGTAGGCAAGCATGCAGTATCCAAGCATGATGAACACTGATGTCGCCAGGCAAGTGGTACCTGAAAATCGATGCAGGAAGAGCGTCTGATTTGGAAAGAGAAGGTGGGAGAGAGGGAGGGGGGGGAGATGCAGAGGGGGAAATGGGGGGAAGTGAGGGGAAGTGAGGGGGGAGAGGGGATGGACAGTGGAGATGGGGAAGGCACTGTGAGCAGGATCACACATGGCAGGTAATTTGAGCAACGAGCAATCACCAATAATCAATCCGCAGTCAAACGCCCAGCACAGATTAATCCCTCAAGCAATATGTGAGCAACCAAACGTTACAAGCCAGTGGTGTACTCGAAGCAATAGCCCACACGCAGTAACAACTATTTTAAACGAACTCCTTAAAACCAACCTTTTACTTACTTCGAGACATCGCTTCGAATAGTGCACCAGGCACGCCGCACACACCAGAACCAGGCGACACTGTTCACTGGTAACAGCTGCTACTACCAGCTCCCATGCACCCATCTGTCCCTCCCACCCGGTCTTCCCAGCCCCAGCACCAGCAGTCATCCAAGAGGAAACGGCTGCTGGGAGCGGAGCGGGAGAGTGAGGGAGCATGTGCGTTGCACGGAGGTGGAGGGCGGGCGAGAGTCCCAGGGCAGCTGAAAGGAAGAGAGCAGCGATGAGCGCTGCTGGGAGGTAGAAGAGGAGCAGGCCCACACGAGAGGGTATCTGACAGGGATGGGGTGGGGTTGGGAGAAGGTTTGTGGAGAGGGACAGCAGGTTGGTGCTGGTAGCCATTGCAGGCTGGTATATAAAAAAATGGGTGCAAAAAAAAAACCATGAGGAAGAAGCCTGTGCAGGTGACCATGAGCTCTAATAATGCAGCGAAACGTGTAGGCGCTTGGTCTGGTCTGACGCAGACATAATCCTTCAAACCTCACAGGTTTTCCAGCTTCCTTGCATGCTGGCACACGGATGCATCAAGGCAGGATGATCCAAGGGGTCACCTGAACTGACTTCCATTTTGCAGTGGAGGCGAATTTGGAGTATCCGAGGTTAAATCCCAGCAGCTCACACGCGGCTTGCAAGGCACTTGTTGCCACCAGCTGTCACCAGTGGCACAGCAGAGAGAGATAGAACAGCAGAGGTAATAGTCAGACGCCACGAAACACCGCAATAACCAACCTAATACACTCAAGCTAGAAGAGTTGCCATACAGAGTTAGTGCGACTACCGTGGCGACCTTGCCTGAGCAAATCCACTTGGCAAATAACAGAATCGGCGATGGGCCTACTATAGTGAAGGGGCCAGCAGAGAGCGACAAACCTGGGTCACCACTAGGACATGGAGCGGAGCAACGGAAGCTTAAGAAAAGGGAATTTCAGACAGAATTATCTCACCTGGATCACGAAGAAAACGTAGATGGGGGGAAGCAGCGAGAGCGGGAAGAAATACGCCGTCCAGCCAGCAGGCAGCACGGACGGCGGAGAGCAGCGACCGAGAGCCCACGGCACGCTGTACGCCGCGCCACTTGCGCTGGAACCCGCATCCTCGTAACCGCCAGGCTCGCCGGCCATGTCGACGGGCTGGTATCACTATCTAGCTGCGCCGTTCGGCCGTGCAAGATGATGACTGAGAGGTAGCTCCTCAGGGAGGCAAAAAGTAGGCACGAGCAGAGCAAAATCGAACTCGACGAGGCTGTGACGATAGGCGTGGCGATGAGCGAGAAGTGGAATGGTGGATCTCTTGAAATCGAGGCGACTCGACGCGGCCGATGCATTGCGATGCGGCTCGTGATCGGAAAAAACCTATTTGCCAAGAGACACGTCAGTTTTGTCCCTAGGAGCTGACAAAAAAAACCACCACACCGAGCACGGCGGGTGTGTGCTTGCTGTCTGCTGGCTTGAATGGCACGTGGAGAATCCCAAATGTGGAAACGTCAACAGTAGAATTCCCCGTTCGAGTCACCAAGACGCCTTTGTTACGGGATAACGCACCGTATGTGTATTGGAAACTGATAATTATTATTAACAGCAAAAATACAAGATCAATTGGAAAGACAATGCAAACACAAACAAGCACTACAACTGAGATCGGAAGCATGGCACCTCCAAAGCACACTACCTTGGCCAAAACTATGATGAAGATGATGGAATCAAAACTGTGTGTACCACACAGGTCAGGCACCCTACCCTAAAAGCCATTTGCCCGTGCATGCACATAGAGGAGCTCCAAATATCAAGCTGCTTGAGCCTCTGCCTCATGGGACTGAACTCCGACCAGGCGGGCATAATCCACCCACCTGCAGAAAGGAAAGGAAGACAAAGGAAGCGGAGAAGAATGAGAAATGTAGTTTTTACTGGGCTTGTACAAGCGGTGATGTGGAAAGATGTTGAAAGGTGATCCAGTCGATACTTACAGGAGGGAGCCAAGATAGGTGTTGAGGGTACGGATACAGAAAGAAGCTCCAGAGAGGACGATCTTGTGGTTGCGAAGAAGAGGATCGAGCATGCGTTGCTCAATCACTCCCGCAAGTATTTGATATCTGCACAGTGAAAGCAGTATTTGGTACGTATTGGCAAGATCCAGATTCCCAGGCTAGCACACCAAATTGCAACAGCTGAACAGATTGACGTTTAGAACACAGACTCACCTCAAGTTGCTGGAGACGGCCATGTATGCACCATACGCAACACTTGTCGCCACCAAAGGAAGCTCCCCCTCGCCCTTCACCACCTCCTTGCCAGTTGCAGCTGCTTCCTTCTTCTTGCCAGCAGCAACCAGTGCATTTGTGACACCAGTGCCAATCTGCACAGAAAAGAGAGACATAGTTCAGTAGCCATTCATCCCCGCGTGTTTCACAATGTATCGCCAATTATGCTCGATTGGAAGACACATGCATCAAAGCTTGTGATAACTCACCAAGGACGACACAGTTCCCACGGCCATCAGCTTCCCGCCATTTCTCTGCAAAAGGGAGCAAAGAACCTCAGCAAAATCACTTCGGAATGCCACGATCCAGACTAACTAAAATTCCTCAGGACAGTCAAGACGGAATGACGTGCAAACGTCAGACTTGGTACAGGTAACGTTTGCGTTTCCTACATTGAACCACTTACCACGACACAGCCCACTCGTTGCAACAGACTGTACTTGGCTCCACCCAACGCCATCTGGAAGTGAATTGAGATTGAGATAACGCAGAAGGATGAAGGATTAGTCAGGAGTATCGAAAACGCAGCTTCAAATCTTTAAACAGCCGCTTTAATTGCAGAGAATACCGTAACAGCAGATCGTACTTGGAAGGCATTGTCAGGGCAACGCGCGAAGAACGATGCGATCTTGTTGCCCTTGATAATGGCAGGAGCGCGCAGCGCAATGGTGGGAGCCGGCAGGTAAACCAGCATGAAATCCGCGAAGAGCGCCATGACCTGATTTGAAACAACGGGAGCGGGAAGAAGATAAGGTCCATATTGCAAGAAACTGGATCGGAACGGGAAAAAAACGACGAAATTGCGATGGAATTCGAGACGCAAGCGGGACCGAAGTTAAAGAGTCGTTTCAAGTGCAAAACTTATGTATGAATGCCCGATCCGAAGCACGCAGTCGGGGTTTGACTTACGATATCGGCGATCACGAAGTTGATCTCCTTCATGAAATTCTCCTTTCGGCGATCGTACTCGGCCAAAGTCTGGTACAGGGACAGAGTGCACAGCAACGGAACAAGTGAAGCGTGACGATTAGAGAAGTGTTAACAAAGGATTTCGTCGCATCCATGTGACGCGCTATCGATCACCAATTTCATCGTGTCATGGAAGCATTCACACTAAGATTGTTTCACAGAGCGTCTGCGTTCACGGTTTCGTCAGGAATATCAACCAAGCCAGGACAGGATTATATTTGAGCCGGAAAAGCGGATCACACTATTCTAGTGAACCTAGCGTACCTTTGTGAACATTCCGACGCCGCACTCGAAGAAGACTTTAAGGAAGAAAAGGTCGTCGGCCAAGAGGCGTTCTTGGAACCCAGACACGCGCACCAGGCGTCCCAGAATCGCGGACTTTTCCATCGCGGTAAACCGTTCCATGATAGCACCAGGAATCCGACCAGCCAAGACTGCCTCTGCGAGCTCCTTGGGAATGGACTCGACGCTCTTTCCCAAAGCAGCCAGCACGGCTAGGGAGTCGGATCGGTTCCGCTCACCGTCGCCGCCACCGCCGCCGTTACCACCGCCACCACCACCGCCACCGCCGCCGCCTCCGCCTTTGCCGCTTGGTCCACTGAATGGACCGCCTCCGCCGATCTCGACAAAGTTCTCAGAAGCCACCGCACCTGGCGGAGAGAGCCTCTTGGACGATTCGGATGACGGCGGGAAAGCGAAGGTGGAGGAAGAGGAGAGAGAGTTGTCGTGGGACTCGGCGCCTGAAAGAGCGGAGACGAATCTCGGCGAGCTTTTCGCCGACGCGATCATTGTCACACGGCATACTTGTCCGCTCCGTTGACGAAGCGACACGGACAATTTAGAAGAAGCGAATCCTGTGTTCAGGGTGGCCCTTGCAGGGATGACTGCCATTGCCTCCATTGTGGCTTGGTTTATTGTCGGCCAGGCGATGACGGTTTAAGGCTTATTAATTAAAGGCTTAATATCGAGCTAAGCTGCAACTTGACAAGTAAGCTGAACAATGGAAGATATATCGACAAATTGTTAAACAATTGCTGATCACAGCAGGAATGAGAGTGGTGGGTGTAGTACCAACGTATGAGACTCTCCAGATGCAGCTCAATTCGGCTCGATCGAGTGCTGCTAGTCCTAGTCTGTGGTATGAGTCTGCACAACAATGGCTAGGCAGGTGCTCTGCTCTGACAGTGAGGGGAAGAGACCGAAATTGGTTGATGCCACTGACAAGGGGAGGAGTGGTGAAGAGGGCAAAAAATGGAGGCGTTTTCTATGTTGTTGGTCGCCTCGCCAACCATCCCCTGCGATTTCCGCCCCTGGGATTTCCGCCCTCCCATTTTCCCGCCCCCGCTTTCCCCACGCACTCCCCGCATGCGATTACCGTCGGCTAGGCGGTTGATCCAAACCTGCGATGTTGGAGATGGCGATGACGCACGGGTGGTGCTCCTGGTTGCTTGCTTCGTTGTGCTGGCACGCGCTTCGGAGGTTCACTCGTCAGCCTGCGAATGGGGGCAGGCGGATTCTGAAGACGTGTTTGGTGTGGGCGAATGTCAGTGCAAGTTTGGCGGAGTGCAATTGGACGAGAGTCTGTGTCTGTGGTATGGTGGTCAGAACTTTCTGGGCAGCTGGGCAGAAAGAAACTCAGTCAACAGAAGTCACAGCAATAACGAGCTAAACAAGACGGCGTTCTTGGGGGAAATTGCAGCTACAGTATTGCGAAACCGACCCCGAGTGCTTTCATGTCGAGGTGCGGTTCGGAAAAAAAATCACAAAAGAAATTTGCCACGCACTTCCAGGCCCAGTTTGGCAGGCATTATGGCCATTATGGCCTTAATGGGAATTTTTAACGGGCCCCCAAAAAATGCCGCCTGGGCATTTCACGAAACAGCTTCGAAGTCGAATCGTAGCTGCAGAGCACATTCGGAAAAAAGGGGTTGAGTGTTTGGTTGGCATTATTTGGGTGTAGATTGATGGCATCAAACGACATTTAGGGTTTCGCAGAAGATGGGAGGCAGTTGCTATGATCGATCGCGTGATCATGTGATTGGCTGGCATATTTGACCAGTCACTTTTAATTGCCCCGAATCACTGATACCCCTCATGGTGCGGGGCCTCGAGTCCGCATGGTGCGGGGGATCGGAAAATGGGCACTTTGCCAGAGAAAATGGGTTGGGTGTAGATTCCGGCAGTTTGAAAACGCCTCCAAAAAAAGGGGTGTTTGGTTGGCATCCCATTTTGTTAGGTTCGGCGTAGTCCGCTTATATCGAGCCTTGATAGCCTTTCACACGCTTATCAGGGAAGGTTCCAGGGTGGTCGGTTCACTGTAGCCCATCCCCCTCGCCCCCTTTTTTGATGCCTGCCAAACCCGGCCCCAGACTCACATCGCCACAAAAACCAGGCATAATGATTCCTCGAGTATTGCGTCCGTGACGCAACAGGCACGGAAAGTGGCACGTTCCAGTGAGAACTGCTCAGGAAACACAGTCTAGGTATAGTTGGTAAGTTTTCCTGTCTGCGTTGTGCGACTCCCAGCTTTTCTAGGTTCGTCTGACATGCGACCTTTGATGACTCGATAAGGCAGGTTGGTGGAGAGAGGACGACAGACCAGCGCCGTGATGCCGAATCGGCTGTCATGCGTATTTTTGTTCTGGGAAGAAAACTTGGGGCCGAAGGGTCCTTGTTGTTTCCAGGCGAATCGTAGGTATGTCGAGCTGGCGACATGCTACTTGCACAAAGGCGCAAGGAAAATAGTATCATAATGAACGGGGTAAGGCGATTGGACGGCACAGCCGGAAAGCTTGGGAGTGGGAGATGCCACATCGTTGATGCCCTAATCGGGTTTCAATTGGAACATCGAATTTTCCTCCATGTCCCTCTCACCAAGGAAATTGCTTTGAGGCACGTGTGAAACATGGATCTTGTATACCAACTCTACTTTGCCACCTCACTCGGCCTTTCAGTCCCGCGAAAGTCGTTCTTTCGTTCCCCTCCAACGGTAGGGTGTCCAATCCAAAATTTGCAAGGGTAGTGCTGGTCATAGTACTGCGGGCGAGGCCCATACGATCTGGCGAAAAGGGAAGGTGAGGTAATAGGGAAACTGGCAGTGGTAGTCTGTTACTAAACTAACTACTAGGATTACACCAAGGGGCCAAGAAAAGTACAAGTGAGAACTAAAGCATGAGCAAACACTAATTTGTGAAACGATGTTAATGGTAGTGCGTAAATGGGCCACGCTTTAAGCTAGTCCAGGAGCATAGGCTGATTCGTTCTAGTTTGGTGAAAGTCGACACCGATGGGGTAACGATTAACGATAGCTGGCATGGCAATGAATGAAAAATGGACGTGAGTCAGGATCCCAGCCACTAACCACTAGGATCAAGTGGCTTGTTTGTGTAGCGGGTGAGCGTGCCCATAACCCCCAGACCAACGCACCAGTAGCCCTTCCTCGAGGATCAATCAGGCATCCCACGATCAATGCTGATGTTAGCCAATACGATCGGCGTGATGAGTAAAGACAACATCACTACTACTTTCTAAAGGTGAATTTTATACAGACTCGTTCCGCATTTGCTTTGATCGAACAAATAAACCGGCCATCAAGAAATGCCGTATGTGTTGAACCTGCTAGGCAGTCGATACCGTAAAAAAAAAAAAAAAAAAATCTTAAATGACAAGAAATGAATACAAGCAGGAAAGCATACCCGCTACAATACAACTCAACCCAGCCTATGAATGTACACCTACAAAACATAAAAGTGTACAGCTTAATATACACTGCCGATTACTTCTTCCAGCATTCTTCATTGTGTTTAAAAAACTGTCGCAACCGTCTAGGAACCTCCCCGAAGCTTCCGTTGCAAACCACCAGCTGGGATTTAATCCAGCTCGGCAGCTTCCCAGTAATTCCCTTGCCATCAGCGCGCGCGTAGCGGGCGTCAACCAATAAGATCGCGGCGTAGTCACCACTGTGGCGAATGGCCCGTCCTGCAAATGGCGGGTCAAAGTGAATGCACCACTGTTAAGGGCATGGTGATATGCACGGTGGTCATATATCTGTGTAAGACAATGGTTTTGGGGGAGAGGGAAGAGGAGGGTAGGAGAAGGGCTAGGGGGCGGGGGGTTTGAAGCAAGATCAGCGGGGGGTTTGGGACTGCTGGAAGCAAGATAAGTGGAATAGTAAAGCAAGAACTGTAGAAACAGACACGAGGAACGTGTGAGGGAGGGGGAAGGGGAGAAGGAAAAGGGCTACGCATGACAAGTGAAAGGAGAGGCAGAGCATGCGAGTGACACATGTGTGTGTGTGCAATGTGTGTGTGTGTGTCCGCGCGCGCGTGTGATCGTGAGCGTGCACTGCCACTGCACTGCCACTGCCACTGCCCCTGCCACTGCCACTGCCCCTACCACTGCCACTGCCCCTACCACTGCCACTGCCCCTGCCCCTGCCACTGCCACAGCACTGCGACTGCACGCACCAATGGACTGGTTGACAGCCTTGGCACAGATGTCCTCATACAGCTGTCGCCCCTTGGACCCACACGACCGCAGCACCGCTGCCACTGCACCCGCTGCCTGCCCATCGGACAACTCCGCGGGTCTGGCTGTACAACCGCCCTGCCTCCCTGTATCAGATGAATGCACCAACCCTGTTCTGGTGCTGGTGCTATTGCTGATAGAACCACCAGCAACACCCCCGCCAGCAACCCCGCCACCCGCTCTAGCACCAGAACCAGCACCAGCGACCGACTCTGGAGCAGTGGTGCCGATGCTGCGGCTGCTGTTGCCCGCAAGCCTGTCGATGAATCTCATCCGTTCATTCAGCTCAGGATCCGACGGGCTGGGGAAGGGCTGGCCCACAACCACCACTGCCCTGCCCATGTCATCACTGAAATTAATCCCCTCCGACATCTTCCCCCCCATCACACACAGCAGCACCGCGCCACGTGGCGACACCCGATTCGCCGCCTGCAAATCACCCCCACTGGTACCCACACCTCCCTGCCCACTCCCTTGACTACCCTTCCCCTGAACGTCCCTACCCTGGTCCCCCCCTTTCCCCTGCAACCCCCTTCCCTCAATACCCTTCCCCTGTATGCACCTTCTGTATTGCCCTAAGACCGCCTCCACCTCTGCAGCGCCCCTAGGCTCTATAAACACGCCTCCCTTGCGAGCCTCCATCATGGAGAGCACTTCCCCTGCTGTCCCGGCCTGCCAGGCGGACAGCACCTCCTGCAGGTACGCGAAGGAGGGGAAGAAGACGACGATGCCGCCCGGCGCCACGGAGCACACGTTCACGAGGAGACGGCCAAGCTCTGTGATCTGGAGTGGGGGAGGGGAGGAGGGGAGATAGGGAGGTGAAATGTGGTGCCCACATGCTCACGAGGAGGCAGCCGAGCTCTGCGATCTAGAGGAGGGGGCGAGGGAAGAGGGGAGAGAGGGAGGTGAAGTGCGGTGCCCACAACGTCTGCTCTAAACCCCCAGCCCGCAGCTGCTCCCCTTCTGCATGTCCTCTATGAGCCTCACGGATCCCATGATCCCCCTCACCATGCCTGCCTGGCCCTGGCACTTGTTTGTAGTAGGGCTCATGCCTTCACATTGTAGTGCGTTCTGCCTTGATTCGAGAATTCTTGGAAGGAAGGAACCACAGATTACACCGTAATCCAGACGAACAGATCAAGTTATAAGAAGAATAGCGGTAACAACAATACAGAACACTTAATGTTACAGGAGTTGGTGCACTGACCATGGCTGGATCACTGCGTGACTGGAAAGTGAACTCAAGGCTCTTCCCAGACGGCCCTTTGGCAATGGCCAGCGGCAGCACACTCTCCCCAGGGACGATGTGACCACAGGAGAAGAGGCGCAGGCGGGCAGACGGCAGGGACGGAAAGAGCTGATCCAGCATGGTGTCTAGAGGCTGCAGTGTGCCGCCTGCTAGGATGATGGCCCGCGCTGATGTGAGGAGCTGAGGGAAAGAGCGGCAGAGGGGATATGAGAGTGGACAGGAGAGAGGGGGTAGCACAAGAAAGAGCAGTTTCAGCATGGTGTTAAGGGGCTGGAGGGTGCCATGTCTCGTGCTGATACGAGGAGCAGACGAGAGTGGGGAGAGAACGGGGGGTGTGTGGACGGGGGTCGGGGAGGGGTACAGAAGGGGCTGTGGAAGGGAGGGTGGGGAGGAGGTGGCACCACAAGGTTTTGAGAAAGCAGTGCAATGTGTTACGTATCGAGCATAAGAAACTTTACAAACCCTCTCACCTCTAGTGGTCATTTTGCTGATCCCTCCCCTCCCCTTGAACTCCAGCTTCCCCACCTCTCCCCCCCTCTATCCTCCCTCTCTCTTCCTCCCCCCCTCTCTCCCACATTCCCGTACCCACTGCATTGCAGCCACCCTACCCCCCTCTTACCTCCTCCATGTGCTGTGCAGTGTTGAGCATCACGAACTTCACAAACCCTCCACCACCATTAGTGACCATCTTGCTGTCCCCTCTCCCCCCTCCCACTTCACCTCTCCCCCCTCCCACTTCACCTCTCCCCCCTCCCACTTCACCTCTCCCCCCTCCCACTTCACCTCTCCCCCCTCCCACTTCCCCTTTCCCCCCTCTCCCTGTACCCATTTCATCCCCTCACCTCCTCCATGTGCTGTGCAGTGTTAAGCATCACAAACTTCACAAACCCTCCACCACCATCCTCCTCCCCCTGCCCCCCTTCCTCCTCTCCAACCCCCACCCCACTCCCACTCCCCCCCTCCCTCTCCTTGGCTGCCGTGGCTGAAACAGCACCAGGACCCCGCCCGTTGGTGTTGTTATTTGCATGAAACCTGCTGTTATTGTTGTGACTGCTGAGCCTGCTGTGATTGTTCTGGTTGGTGTGACGGGTTGGAGTGGGAGCAGGCGACAGCAGCACGCGTCCGTCCGCATTGGCGTTGCAGAGAGACGAGAAGAACTCTGCAAACGCACGGAAGGCGCTCACTCCAATGCTGTGCTGGGACGGCTGAGGAGAGGACGTGGTTGCAGAAGGGGTGCTGTTGGTGCCGCTGCTGCTGTTGGTGGTGCTTGGGGTGTTGGTGGGAGTGAGAGTCTTGAGCAGGACTGCCTCACCATAGGAGCTGATCTGTTGGCACATGTGAGGTTGGGGTTGGGATTGGAGAAGGGTTTTCGGAGGAAACAGGGAGGAAGGGCAACGAGACAGGGTGGAAACGGAAGGTGGAGGAGGAATTGGGAAGAGTTTTGAACTGGCCTGACTCGATCACCTGGTGTGGATGCACGTAGTGGTGGGGTTTTGAGACCTCAAAACAAGAAACAGAGGAACAAGAAAAACATGTTAAAACCCGAGCCCATCACTGATAGAATGCCCATCACCTTGTGCGCGATGTTGGATGCTTGCACGTAGTGGTGGAGCTTGAAGAGGTTGATGTTGTCTACCGCCAGGGAAAAGAGAAACTCGTCTATGCCCTGCATGCCTGCCGGTGGTGAGAGGGAAGAGGAACGGATGGGGCAGGTGGGGGGGGCAGAAGAGGGGGGCAGCGCAGAAACTTGTTGACGCTTTGAAGAGGTTGATGTTGTCTACCGCCAGGGAGAAGAGAAATTCGTCTATGCCCTGCATGCCTGCTGGTGGTGAGAGGGGGGAGAAACGGATGGGGCGGTTGGGGTGGAAACATGAGGGAGGTAAGGGCAGACAGGTGAGGACGCTTCGAAGTGATTAACGTTGTCGACCGCCAGGGAGAAAAGAAACTCGTCTATGCCCTGCATGCCTGGCAGTGTGCGGGGGGACGGACAGGAGGGTACAGTGGGTCGAAGTGTGTAGTCTATGTAACCCGAGGGGAGAACTTGCCGATGCCTTGCATGCCTGGGGGTGTGCGGAGGGACAGTCGGGGGGGAACAGGGTGAGCACAACGAGAGCTGTCGAAGCAAGGAAGAGGAGGCGAGGAGAGAGATGGATACGGAACAGCAGACGGAACCAGATGCAGCAACTCACGGGGCTGTTTGGAACCAGGGATCACAGCAGCAATGCCCAGCACCATCATCACCTGCAGCTGCAGCATCTAAGGGGAGGAGGGGAGACAACACATCCCAGCGGCAGCAACTCACGCGGCTGTTTGGCGCCGGCGATGACAGCAGCAATGCCTCGAGCCACCACCTGCAGCTGCAGCACATACCGCCGGTTCCCCGGGCCCAGCTTGTGCCTGAACCGCCCCAGGTACCCCGCCAGCTGCGCCTGCACCAGATGCACCTGCCGGGCGGACAGGGTGCAGCTGTGCATGCCTGCCAGCGCGTCCGTAAGGTTGTGTGCCTCATCCACCACCACTACACTGTTGCTCAGCACCCCACTGCCCCCGCTGCTGCTGCTAGATAAAGCCACGGCACCTGCTGATCCCACAAGCCCTGCTGTTCCGACCGTGCCTGCTCTGTTGCTGGCTGTGGGTGCCTTTTCCCCTGGTCCCAGCAGCGCTTCTCGAGCACCCTTGTGCAGCAGGGACTGGTATGGCAGCACTACTACGTCTGCTGCCCGCGCTGCTGCCCGAGCCGCGTAGTACGGGCAGGTCTCCAGGCTGGCAGGGGTGCAGGAGGGGCAGGTTGAAACTCTTTGTCGATTTGTGGAATTGAAACATGAACAAGGTGAGGATGAGAGGAGAGCGGCTAGGAGCAGCATAGACAGCGGGACTAAACGGAACAACCAGAGCTGTTTAGAACTCTCACAAGATCAATGAGAATCAGCACACCCACACACCCAACAACAAACCCATCCACCCACCCACCGTGACCCCAGTCGACCCAGGTCCTCTATGTCAGCTGGCGGCGCTGCCACGAGGTGCTGCAGGAACTGCTGCTGCCGCTGTGCCTTGCCCCAGTACGGACAGCCACAGGTAGAAGCGGACGGAGATGCTCGCGTGCGGCCCTTGCTTGCTTGGTCCTGGAGCACGTATTTGGGCACGCATGGGAATCAGCAATCGTTGAAACGTCTCGAGAACATAACCCATACTCTTTCACATGAACGAGTGTTGAGACGTCTCAAGATTGGACCAAGGGGGTTCAAGCATGTGAGGGTGCCCAGAAGCGACTGGGTGCGCGTGTGACGGAACTATCTCATCAAGCTTGTACATGGAAACTAACAAGTCAAGAGGAGAAGAGAAGAAAGATGAATGAAAACCAGGAGTTGTTCATAAGGTATGTGTGCATAAACGGGAAACATGCAGCCACAGCGGAGTCTGACGTGCATGGTGCATGGTACACACCCGGTCGCCCTGCTTGCTGGCCTTGCTCTTCCTCTCCGCTGCCAGGCGCTGCAGCTCCAAGCACCGCTCGCTGATGGCACTCGCATTGCCCAGCTTCAGCACCGCTGTAGGAGGCCGAGGCCGAGGGGAACAGGCGGAGAGGGGGACAAGGGAGGGCACAGGGGGCGGTGAGGGCAATGGAACAGATGGTTATTGAAGAATGTCTAAAAACTGAGTTGCATTGCACTGCTCAGTTTCCACACTGATACATGCAGCAGGCGGGGAGGAGGGCCAATGCAGTAGGTGATGTTGGCGCTGGATGCAGTGATGCGTGCATGGTGAGAAGAAGAGGGAGGACGAAGGAGACGGAACGACCAACTTAAGGTGAAATGCGCAACTGTAACACTGAGTGAAGGTGTGCATGAAGTGATACATTGATTGAAATGATATTGACTCGACTCATATGTACAATTTTTACATGTCAGTCGATTCGCGCGTACACTGGTTGATGCAGAGGTTCTTGCGAGAAGCAAGGGCCACTGTGAACAGCTGGTCTGCAAAGGGCGTTCGACGTAACTCTGAGATGAACTGGGAGAGCTGCAAGCACGGGAAGTAGACGGGACACAAGCACAGCGAGGGTCAAGGCTAAAAGTTGGTCTGCAGGTTGCTTCGACGAAACTCTGAAATGAACTGGGAGAGATGCAAAGCGGCATTGCCCCTTATCACTCATGCAAGCCAGCATTCCCATCACAATTGCAAGTGCATCCTTCCCACCGCACCTGCGAGTGAGTGCGGCTACAGAAGAACACCTTTAGTGACTCCTCTGCCAAAGCCTCAGCTGCACCCAGGCCTGCCATGCGCCCTGTCGCAGCAAGTGAACCAGCAGCACCGCCAGCGCTCTCCTCGTCGTTACTGTTGTCACTAGCGCCCGCTGCTCCCTGCCAGGCAGACACAGCAATATCCAGCAGTTAAAAACAGCTGCCACGAAGCAGTTAACAGTACAGCTACGCACCCCAGCAGCACGTGTCTTTAGCCTCACACGCCGGTGCATTTACGCAAGGCAAAACCAGGAGGCTATAAGGCCTCTACAGGAACAACCGTTGCAAGGAGCCAATCACGTGGCACACCCGATGCAGCACACTGAATACTGAGAAGAACAACCCACCCTTCCACGAGCTCGCTTTCTCCGTCCACGCCCAGTGCCACCACCACCAGCACCACCAGCACCACCACCACCATCACCATCCTCATCATCACTCTCCCATTCTGGCACCAAAAACTGCTCTTCCTCCTCCTCCTCCTCCCTCCCCCGCCCCCCAATCCCCTGCTCCAGCTCCTCGTCACCCTCCTTCCGCCCACTCCCTTTCCCCACCACACCCCTCCCATTCCTCGGATCCCCACCATCCATCGCCCCTCCGAAAGAGCGCCGTCCCCACCTTCCCTGGGAATCCTGACCATTCCCCTGCACCTGCACATGCTGCCACTGAATGCCACCCGGTCCAAGCACATCCGGGCTAGCAGCCTCTCTCTCCCGCCTGCGCCGCTCCAGCCGCTGCTGCCGCTGTGTGCACACCCTGGCCGCAGCCTCGCGCTCTTTCACCCCCTCGTAGTCCCGAAGCCAATCTGGTTCGCAGTCTTCAGAGTCTTTACTGTTGCCGTGATTGCCACCGCCACCACAGTCGCCACGGTCGCCACTGTTGCTACCATTGTCGCGGCCTTTTTCCACGCCGTCCTCTGTGCTAGGCGGTTGCACTGCTGAGTTGCCTGCAGCGTTCTGGGCCTGCGGCAGGGGGTGTGGGGAATCGGTAGGAGATGCACCGGAGGAGGGAAGTGGGCCGTGGCAATGCATTTATTCTTGTTTATTTCTTCTTGGTTTCGATAATGAGAAACCCCATCAGCGATGCGCGTAGCGACGTGTGCGACGACAACTGGGTCACCTTAGAGCCAGTGAAACGTGTGCGACGTGTGCGACTGCTACTTAGTGAGTGCGGGTACCTGTCGCTCATGCTCGTCTAGCAGCCACTGCAGCACGCTGCAGATGAGGCTCAGCGTCTTGCCTGTGCCTGCACCACACGGACACACAGAATAAATAAACGCCGCGTCAGATAAACGCAGCTGCAACCGAACGCGAACATCGATCTCGCTACGCAGATTCACTCATTCTCCTCCTCATGAAGCCGAATCGCATGCAGCTACTCAGATCCAAACTCGTGATATAGTAACTCACCAAACCACGATAATATCTGGCCCGAAGGCAGACGCACAGCTGACCTCTAGCCTCAGGAGAAGCAAACAGGAATACTTTGTCCAGTAAAGCACACAGGCGAGAGAATTAAGGGTGAATTAGTAGTAAATGAGTAGACAGACCTGTGGGGCTCTCCATGATTCCGACCTGGCCGTGCTCCACGGCGGCATACACGGCGCGCATCAGCTGGCGCTGTATATCGTACGGCTTATCGTACGGAAACAAAGGGAACTCCGTCCTGCTTAGGAGCCTCCCCTCGGAACCTCCGCTGTGATCCGCAAGCCTGGGAACAGCCGACATGGTAGACACGAACTCCCGCGCCTTTGCGTCGCCGAGGCGCGAACTGTTAGTGGATCTTGGAAAGCGACGTCGCACAAGAATTATGACATCGGAGCGTGGTTTCGGTGGTAAAGACGAAAGAACGAAAGAGATATCCAGGCTCCGAGTGCTTCTGTCTCTAGGCAAGGTGTGCAACTGATTTGAGGAAGGTGTGGTGGCTTGCGGCACTCAAGCAAGAAGTGGCTGGGAATGGGGTCTGCTCGTATTGGTCGGTTGATGGCGGCAGTTCTCGAGGATAGAATTCAAACTTGCAAATGTGGAGGGAAGGCGGGAAACCTGGTGAATTGGTGTGCGTTGTTGTGCAACCCAGTGATTATTTGTAGCGCGTAACCTTTAGCTTCTTTACAGTTTTAGACTTGTGCTAAGAAGATTTCCCGCTTCGGTCAATCATCATATGGCCTTCGTTTCAATAACGAGCTTGGACAAATTGTATATTTTGTAAACGGTTAGAACCATTAAAAATTAAAAATGGTTACACGCCCTAGTCTCTTCTGCCTGTTGTTGGAATAACCGAAAGGTTATAAAGGCATTCCCGAAGTTGCTCCACTGTACTAGTACCGCATTAGCTCATATAGAGCACGCGGAATCTCGAGGGTCACCCGAAGGTCAACCGTCTAAGATAGTCAACGGTCGTGACCCTTGACGATCCAGTAACCGCGCGACAGTTAACAGACTGCAACACGGTAACTGTCAAGAATAGCAATAGTCGTGGTTACTGTAGCTATGTAATACAGTTAATAAGGGAATGTACCCCTCAGAGTACATGGCTAGATAGTTTGCTATTTAATTTCTTGTACTCCTACTCTCTAATCATCTTGTTCTCTTTCAACTATTATTCAACAAGGTCACTACAGAGACTTCACTGTCTCCTTTCAGGCTTAACACATTCTATCCTGTCCACTGATCCTTTGGTTGTATCAGCATGGTATGAGAGCTAGAGTGGATTATAGGATCTGTCAAGCCCTCGTTCTTCCTAGAACAATCCTTTCATAAAATCAATTATCACATCTTAAGGTCTGCAACACTATGGCTCCTGAAGGGAAAGCTACTGCAGACTCACCGGGCCCACCACCAACAACTATTAACGCGCCATCAGCGGTGACCTCCGTCAACGCCGCTGTCGTTGAGCAACTAGTTGCACGCATCAACGCTCTTGAAAGCCATCAGGCTATGAGCATTGTGTCAAATGTTGTAGCCTATAGTGAGGTTTGTCTTAGGGGGTACAAAACTTAGGGTTAGCTATATGTACCCCAACCAACATCAATGCATCATCCATTCTTCATTTTGACATGGTATCAGTTAGGTTAGGATCCTGTGGGATCCCGTTCCTCCGTTCTCCGTTCGAGCCTCCCGAGCCTGATCCTAGCTCTCATTCGTCCCGGTTCCGTTGTTACCGCGCGTAGTGCCGAGCCTAGCGCCAATCCTAGCGCCCGTCCGCGCCACCCGTTCCCCTCGTTCCGTAGCGCCCGCCCTTACCCCCCGTCGCGTCGCGTTCCCCCCCCACGTCGTGTCGCGCCCGTTCCCCCCGTCGCGTCGCCGCCCATTCCCCCCGTCGCGTCGCGCCTTTTCCCCCCGTCGCGTCCTGCCCGCCCTTTCCCCCTCGTCACGTCCCTTTCCCCACTCCTAGCGTCGCGTCCTGCCCGCCCTTTCCCCCTCGTTGCGTCCCTTTCCCCCCCGTCGCGTCCTGCCCGCCCTTTCCCCCTCGTCGCGTCCCTTTCCCCCCGTCGCGTCCCGCCCGTCCTTTCCCCTCGTCGTGCCCCTTCCCCCCCCGTCGCGTCCCGCCCGTCCTTTCCCCCCGTTGCGTCCCTTTCCCCCCGTCGCGTCCCGCCCGTCCTTTCCCTCCGTCACGGCCCGCCCCTTCCCCTTTCCCCTGTAGCGGCCCGCCCTTTCCCCTGTAGCGGCCCGCCCTTTCCCCTGTAGCGGCCCGCCCTTTCCCCTGTAGCGGCTCGCCCCTTTCCCCAGCCCGTCGTCTTAACCCTAGCCTGCTCTTCCGCTGCCACTGTATCCCTAGCGTTAGTTCTCGCTATGGCGACTCCGCGTGTGCTTCGTTTCGACGCTGACGGTAGACCTCTTGATTTTTCCGTCTGGCTTCTTCGTGCTCGCCGTCTGTTAGAGAGTCAGGTCCAGGCAGGCGAGACCCTCTGGGCGCACGCTACTGGTGCCCTACCTGCGCCCCCCGACCCTACGCCTTTAGGACCTGCCCCTGACGACGCCGCTAGAGCCCGCTTTGCCACTCAGCGAGCTGACCAGACGGCTTGGACGTCACGTGACGCTGCGGCCTGCATCGCGCTCAGCAGCCTCCTCCCTGAGTCTGAGGAGGTTCACTTCACTCAGGTTCGCACCGCTGCTGAGTACCTCACTGCGATTAAGGCCCGCTACTCTTCTCCCGCTGCTGTCTCTCTTGGCCGCCTGTTCCTCCCGTTCCTTTTTCCTGACCTAGCGTCTTTTGAGCGCTCTGCTGACTTGATCGCTCACCTCCGCTCGCTCGACGCTAGTTACCGCGCTGCTTGCACTGAGGCACAGCTTGCACTGCTTCCTCCCCCTATGGCGATTACTATCTATTTCATCGCCACTAGCCTCCCTGACCGCCTTGCCTCCGTTCGCGATGCGCTTCTGCTGAAGCACCCTAGTGAGCTCACCGTCGATGTCCTTGAGTCTGCACTCAAGGACGTCGAGAGCAACCTTCGCTCGGTAGCCGCTGCCTCTGGTGCTGTGCCCCCCCCACTCTTCCACGGGTGCACAGTCCCGCAGTTACCCACCTTTACTGCCTCACTTGCCACTGCCGCTACTGACGCGACTGCAGCTGCTGTTACGACTGCGTCGCGGTCCCGCGGTAGGAGTGGCAAGAAAGGCGGTTCTGGTGGTGGTAGTGGAGGTGGAGGCGGAGGTAGTGGAGGTGGCGTTGCGCCTGGCGGCGGTGGAGGTTCAGGGCCTGGAGAGGCGCCTCGTGCAGTGACTGGTGACTCCACTGCGCCTGCTGGTGGTGGCGACGCCCGAGTTCGTCAGTCGCCTCCTGTACTTCCTGCCCCGGTTGGTGGAGCAGCGGCGTGGTACCAGGCTCAGCGTCAGCAGCAGCTTCTGCAGCACCAGCAGCCCCTCTCCTCCCAGCAGCCTCAGCAGCAGCAGCGGCAGCAGCTGGCTCCAGGGTCGGGGCTGCGTCAGACCCAGCGCGGTGCTGCTTACACTCCCTGCACCTACCAGGTTCTGACAGGCACTCGTCGTGGCCACCCTTGTGGCCGGTTTCACCCCCCTGGTCAGTGCTTTGCTCAGCTCACTGACACGGTTCGTTTGGTCTACGGGGTTGGTGCTCCTGCCCCTGACTGGCTGCCTCTTGTTCAGCGCTACGGCTCCGCTCTGTGGGGCATGTCTGCTGAGCAGTTAGTTGATCTGATTGGTACTCCCCATGCTATGTATGCTGTTGTTGACTCTAGTGTTTCTGACTCTGTTTACTCTGGTGTTGTTAGCTT